TAGAAAACTAGTGGGGCGCATGGCATCGTGCCTTAAGGCAAATTGGAACTTCCCGTACCAAAAATAATTTTTTTTTTGAAAAGATTACATTTTTTAAAAAATTTACTCTAAAAAAAATAGATTTTTGAGGAAACTATATAAATTTTTGACAAAAAACTTACTTTAGTGTTGAAAAATTTATTTTGAAATATTTTGGAAATTCTGAACTTTTTTTCAAAGCAATCGTACTGCTTTAATGCATAGAGACTAAATATCGAAGCGCGTAAGCGCCGCGTCGCTGTCTAACGCATAAGCATTGGTACGGAACCCATAGGAATGTTAACAAAATGTATACTCATTGTTAAAATCTCTATAAAATATCTGATAATTTGATGTGCATATGTCTAATGTCTAATGATTATTGTTGACCGCCAAATGTTATTTTTTTTTTACTTTTTTTACTAGATCTCTGAAACCGCTAGACTAATTTCATAAAAATTTCATCAAATCTTCATCTTGATAATGCAAGTAAAATGTTTTTGAATTATTCAAATTGCTTCAATCCCGATTCCCGAAATCGTCGACGAAAATTTGTATCTGAACACACACAAATGCACGCACACACACACATACACACACATACATCAATTTTCTCTAAGGTATGCCAATATATTCAGAAACCTTTGAAACGTAAAGTTATATAAAAATTTTCATTTTCGATTTTTGTGCGATTACTATAACTTACCTACGGAAAGTTAATTATAAATAAATTAATTTATCACCTCCAGAACATTAACAATCGTCATTTCATTTCGAATCAAATTTCAAAAAAAAAAAATAGTTGCCAAATTTCCACAAAATTGAAAAAGTGCTCCAGCATAGTCACAGTCTAAACGCATTTGCAAATAATCTGTGCGATATTTTCACTTATACTGTGCTCAGCTTGGCGGCATTTTCACATTTTTCAATAATTTCACAAAATTGGAAAAGTGCTCCAGTACACAAACATCTAAACGCACTGGGTAAACATTTGTACCAGAGTGGCGCTTAGACTGCTGTTAGCTTGGGTGATTTTTTGAATTTTTAGTCCAAAATTACAAAAAAATTTTTTGAAAAAAAATTAGAATCAAAAAATTTTTTTTTCCAAAATCAATTGTTTGTTGAAAAAAGCAGAAAGTTCTTTGAATCATTTAAATCGGACGCTTAGTTCTCTCAAAAACAGCCATTTTTTTTAAATTTAGCTCTGTAACTCCGAAACCTCTGGGCCTACCTTTGCCAAAAACTAATCAGCACATCTCCCTATCAATAGGAATCGAATGTTTTTAAACCATTCAAATCGGTGGATCCGTTCTCTCAAAAATTCGCTTTCTATTTTTTTGCACTCTTTGCTCCATATCTCCGTAACGGCTGGACCTGCCTTTGCCAAAAACTAATCAGCACATCTTCCTATCAATAGGAATCGAATGTTTTTTAAACCATTCAAATCGGTTGATCCGTGCGCCCGAAAACGTGGACGAAAAAAAGCGGACATACAAAACACACACACACACACACACACACACACACACACACACACATCCATTTTTTCTGAAGTATGCCAAAATGTTCAAAAACCTTCAAAACGTCGAGAAATGTAAAAATTTTTGATTTCGATTTTTGGACGATTACTATAACTTACCCTACGGGAAGTTAATAAATATATTAGGGTGGTCCTTAATATGGACATTTTCAAATTTCCTTGTTCCCAAGGATTCAAATGGTTCCAAATTGATAAAAAAAATTCTCTGAAAGTTTTAGCTCTTAATATTGTCTTTTAGATAGAGCGCTATTTCCATACAAAGTTTGATTGAATTGCACACTATCTAAATCAAGGATGAGCAACCCATGGCTCGCCGGAGGTTTTTCTGCGGCCCGCCAAGCATTTCTCAACAACAGACTCTTTTTTCTAGATATATTATCAAATACGGCTGTAAAGGCTAAAAGGCAATTTTGTTGTCAATCAAATACTGGTAAAAATTGTTGTTCGCAGAAATAGCATTTCCTGATAAAATGAATATTAGTTTAACAATATTTAAATCACCGTGAATTTACAAACTTCCTGACAATTTAGAGCGTGAATATGGGTTGTGCTTTTCAATACTAAAGTACGTTAGCTCAATAGTGATGCAATGCTTAAAAGAGTATACCACCCAAATGACGATTTACAACTGTTTTTGGATATGAAAGAACAATTGTAGTACTTTCGTCATTTTGGTAATAAAGAATAATATCTTTTCTAGTATCTTGTGTTTCACATTTCATTTTCAGAAAAAGAAAATGTGAACAAATTTTAATTGTGATTCCAAATGGTCAAAACTAACAAAACAGCTGTTTTCATGTAAATGTTTTCTTCGCCATTTACCATGCAAAATAATACAGACTTAAAAAAATTATTTTTTTCAGTAACATCGCAATTTTTAATAAATCTCATGTCAGCCCTGAGAAATTTTCGCTGTTGAAAAAAAAAACTCAAATCAAATTATGATAAATTATTTTTTTGGAAGCACGTATGTGTGCTGTTCGCACACAAGTCCGCAAAAGAAAAGTCGCTAGATAATAATTCATTCATTCAGAAAAAAAATGCAAGATCGAAGATTGTGCCAGTTTTTAAATGTTTTTTTTTTTATATTTTGTGTCTCAATTTTGACTATAGATTTATTATATTCAGCGGTAAAAGTACATTGAAAATACATTGGAAAACATATGTCCTACACCCAATCCAGACAACTTTTTTTGTGGACCTGTGTTAATTTCAACCATAAAATTCATAAAAAATTACCACCTATCAAAACTGACAATGAGTAAATCGCTGCATACGTGTTGCTACTTTCCGCATTAAAAAAAGAACAAAATTTAAAATTTAGTTTATATAAAAAAGCAGTGCCAAATTTCTTATCAAGGTTTTCAAGTAAATTATTTTTTTTTGTTTAACTATTATTTGTTTTTATTTTGTATTTATATTTATAAATACTTATAGTATATACTCGTAATTGTATAAAATATATACTTTTTTCAATTTTGTATTTTTGTACTTTTCTTGTTGCAATTTTGTAATTTTGTCGCAATTACATTATTTGCGCCCTCAGTCGACAAATCTTTTGATTTAATTTTAGTTCAGACTTTTGAACTTATGAGAAAGATTTAGTTTTATTTAAAAAGAAAAAGCAATTTATTTTTATCATGGGTTGTACGAGCGTAACATTTTTGTCAAATTTTGTTCTTTATTTTAATTTTCTTAATGCGGTATGGAAAACTACATACAACTCCAAATTTTCATTATTTTATAATAGTCATTTTAGTAGTCCAATCATTTTTTATTTAGCTCGTTAATCGATGAATTAACTATTATCGCTCTTTTTGTGAACGTTTTTAATTGAAATTCGATCAATATTTTTCTGAGCTTATAAAAAAGCTTAAATTTATCCGCTCTATTCGCTGCAACATTTTAAAAACAATTCTTCGATATTGGCAACGAAATGGTTACCTCTGATAAAATTAACTGATTTGCAGGCTTAACCTACTGTACAAACATTTCCCGATGTGCAATAAAAGTATATAGTTTTTGAATGTCTTGCAGAAGGAGCAATTCTAGCAAAAATATTAGAAATTTAATATTAAAATCTGAAAATAAAACTGAAATTTTTTTTCAGAATGATTGAAATCTCACTCGTTTCGCTAAGCATAGCATAACTTAATTCAAATATGTATGTAAGGTAAGGGACCCAGTTTCTGACCTTTTTAGAGTGACGGTGGAGGTTAAACAATAATAATTAATATAAAACTTAACTTAATGAAGAAAATTATAATTTTATCTATTAGTTTAGGATTTTTAAAATAAAGTAATGTGCATAAAAAAATTATTTGAATTAAATTTATATTTTAAATTGACGTTTTAAAAATTGACATTAAGAGCTCCAGTTTCTGACCCTCAGAATTCTTCGTGTGGCAGTTTCTGACCCTGACCGTAGCCCAATTTCTGACCCTCAAATTTAATCATGATTAGGTTATGAAGTGCTTACTAATTTTAAATAAACTGAAATTATTATTGAAATAAATAAATTAAATATTTATTCTAAAAATATACAGTTTGTTAAAATTTAACGTATAAATAGTTCAAGTCTTGTTATAACATATTACACAAACAAAAAAATTAAAATTAATTATTTAAATTACTTGGACTTTTTTTTTATTTTAAGAGCTTTTTGTTTCTTTTTTTCTTCAAGTTTTTCTTTTTTAATTATTTTTTCTGCCTCCTTGATGGCTTTATTTTTGGACCTTTCAGCTTTTTTCAATTCTTTTTCTTCTTCTAATTTTCATTTAATTAATTGTAATTGTATAATTGTATAATAATAAAATATTAGTAAACTAAAACAGTCATAATTTAAGCGTTGATAAAACTGACATTTTTTTATTAATAATTTCATCACTTAAAAGATGTATTTACAAGATTTAAATACAATCTTTCATTTATACCAATGAATATTAAATGTAAATTTATCACTTTACTACGAAAAATAGTAAAAAAAAAATATAAGATAACAATAAATATTATTATTTTTACATTTAATGAACAAGTGACTAAAAACATGTGACAGATAACCTAGCTTTTAGAAGGTTAGAATTGCAGGGTCAACAACTGTGACATACACTTAAAATTGAGCCTAGTTATTGACCCTCAAATTTCAGTAATAAAACTAAATTTAATATGTTTTATAAATATTTAAAATAAATTTTAATTAATTATTGACTTATTTGTATATTTTTAGTTAGATTTTCGTACTTACATCATAATTAGTGCACGAACTCAATTGTCGTAGCTCCTTACATAAACTGTTTAGACTAAAGCTAAAAAATGGCTTCCACAGTCACTTTTGGTTTAAAATTTTTTTTTTATTTAGTTAATATTTTTTATATTTTTTTAATTGACATTAATGAGGCATAGAATAAATTACTGTCAATTAGGAAAAAATTTATTTTCACATTAAATGTATAGTTTTTTAATTAATTCCAAAAAAAGTTGAAAAGGTCAGAAACTGGGCCAGGGTCAATAACTGGGTCTTTTACCTTATGTTAGTATTTTAGCGTTGTAGTGCGTAAATTATCAATGTAATTTGTGTTAGCTGACCCTTTCATTTATATACCACATATTTATACATTCAGAATTAGTTAGTCATTTCTTTTACTAATGATTTTCTAAAAATATTTCCTGTGGCCAAACGTTCGCCGGGTCAGCTAGTATATATATATATAAATTACGTGCGGCCCGCCATAAAATTTTGAAAACCAAATTGGCCCGTGGGTTAAAAAGGTTGCTCGCCCTTGATCTAAACGTTAATATTAAGAGCTAAAACTTTCAGAGAATTGTTTTTTTAGCAATTTGGAACCGTTTGAGCCCCTGGGAGCAAGGAAATTCGAAAATTAAGGAAATTAAAATTCGTCTTTATTAAGGACCATCCTAATATGCATATATCTTAATGGCACCTTCTTTTTTTTTCAACTCCTATATGAATTAATTCCTTTACCTCGGGCAAGTAGTAAAGTGCCACCTCTCTGCAGGACACCAACTGTGCTTCCCGTCTTCAACCCTTTCATCCCAAGTTCCTAAACTGACTTCTGGGGCAGGATGCTGATGAGGACCAGAAGCACCACCGGCTACACAAGCCCCCAGGCCAGTGTCGGAGCCATCGTCGCACCAGCCGCAAGCTGGTTCTCCGAGACATTGACCACAGGTTGAATAGAATGTGCATTGGGACTCACCTGGAAAAAAAATAAAAAAAACTAGCTGTAAGTGGAATTCTGTCTTAAGGCAATTAAGGCATCGTGCCTTAAGGCAAATTGCTGGAACTTCCCGTACCAAAAATTATTATTTTTTTAAAAACGATTACCATTTTTGAAAAAAAAAATTACTTTGAAAAAATAAGATTTTTGAGAACTATAAATTGAACAAAAAATTACTTTTTTTTGAAAAAAATTTTTAAAAAAAAATTTTTTTTTAATTTTTTTTTTTTTTTTTTGAAAAAATTTTTTTTTTTATTTTGACATATTGTGGAAGATCTGAACTTTCTTTACAAAGCAATCAATCGTACTGCTTTAACTGCATAGGGACAAAATATAAAGCGCGTAAGCGCCGCGTCGCTGTCTAAAGCATAAGCATTGGTACGGAACCCATAGGAATGTTAACAAATGTATACTTATTGTTAAAATCTCTATAAAATATCTGATAATTTTATGAGCATATGTCTAATGATCATTTTTGACCGCCAAATGGCTCATTTTTTTACTTTTTCCTCCATATCTCCGAATCCGCTAGACCTACCTTCATGAAAATTTTATCGATTCTTCATCTTGTCAATACAAGTGACATTTTTTTGAATTATTCAAATCGGACGCTCCGTTCTCTCAAAAACTGAGCTACCGTTTTCGGCACTTTTTGCCCCGTATCTTTGGAACGGCTAGACCTGCCTTCGCCAAAAACTAATCAGCACGTCTCCTTATCAATACGAATCGAATGTTTTTTGAATTATTCAAATCGGTTGACCCGTGTTACCGAAATCGTCGACGAAAATTTGTATCCGCACATACATACACACACACACATACATACATACATACACACACACATACACACACACACACATACACATACATCCATTTTTTCTAAGGTATGCCAAAATGTTCAGAAACCTCTGAAACGTAAAGATATATAAAAAATTTCATTTTCGATTTTTTTGCGATTACTATAACTTGCCCTACGGGAAGTTAAAAATATAAGTTGACTAGGTGCAAAATGGCGATTTGGATTGAAGCAAATTTCATTTAAATTTAGTACTACTACTTCCCGTAGGTTAGTTATAGTAATTGTTGAAGTTTGATACTAAACGCTCTCTGTCTACTATGTTTGTGTATATATGTTTGTCTTTTGTTTTATGTAAAACAAGTGATTGTTAATAATGTTTGTAATGAATGTGATTAGTTAAAAAATATATAATCAGTCAGTCTGTTTTTATCCTTCTCCTACCCCTAAATCTAATTCTCTCTTAAATTCGCCAATTTTACTAATGTCCTCTAACTTCAACTTAATTAATAATGAAATAGACATTCACAACACTTCACCTAATCAAATAATCTCCATCTGCACGAGTTAATCTTTTTATTTTCTTTCAAATATCTCATTATTTTCTGTTTATAAATATTATTGTTACATTCTGCATTATATGAAATTTTATGTTAAGCACTTCATATTAATAACTATATATTGTAATTTTGTATATATTTTAATTGTTATTCATTATGTCAAATAATTGTATATTTGAGTCCTCTTGAAGAAATCTGTGGGCTATATATTTAAATAAATAAATAATAAATAAATAACGGTTGTATTATTATTCACATAAACTTTTAACATAAATTCTACAGTAATGGGCCGAAAATCGAAAATAAAAATTTTTGCATTTCTCGACGTTTTGAAGGTTTCTGAACATTTTTAAGGAGCATACCTCAGAAACCAAATGGATGTGTGTGTGTGTGTGTTTTGTTCACGTTTTCGGGCCTACGGATCAACCGATTTGAATGATTCATTTACCATTCGATTCCTATTGATAGGGACATGTGCTGATTAGTTTTTGGCAAAGGCAGGTCCAGCCGTTACGGAGATACGGAGCAAAGAGTACAGAAAATACAATTCGAGTTTTTGAGAGAACGGATCATCCGATTTGAATGATCTAAAAAACATTCAATTTGTAATGATTGGGAGAAGACGTGATTAGTTTTTGGAAAAGGCAGGTCCCGCCATTTCGAAGATACAGAGCTAAATGTGCAAAAAATGGCAGTTTTTAAGTGAATTGAGCGTCTGATTTGAATGATCTAAAAACTTTCTGCTTGTATTGCTTTTGAAGATAAAAAAATTATTACATCTTTTTTTATATTCCATAAAAATTTTACAAAAATATTTTTGTAATTTTGGACTGAAAATTCAAAAAATTGCCCATGCTAAGCACAGTCTAAGCGCCACTCCGGTACAAATGTTTACCCAAGTGCGTTTAGACTGTTTACGTACTGCAGCATTTTTTCAATTTTGTGAAAATTATTGAAAAATGTGAAAATGCCGCCAAGCTAAGCACAGTATAAATGAAAATGTCGCACAAAATTATTTGAAAATGTATTGAAATTTTAACTTGCTCGTCAGTAGAGTCCCTTTTTGTATTAGAATTTTGATTTGCTCGTCAGTATAGTCCCTTTTTGCTATTAACATTTTAATTTGTACGCCAGTAGAGTCCCTTTGGTACTAAAATTTTAATTTGCTCGTCAGTGGAGTTTCCATTTCTATTGACATTCTCAATTGCCCATCAGTAGAGTCCCTTTTTGTACTGAAATTTTAAATTTGCTCGTCAGTAGAATTCCTTTAGCATTGACATTTTACATTTGCTCGTCAGTAGAGTCCCTTCTTGTACTTAAATATTAATTTGCTCGTCAGTAAAGTTCTTTAGTGTATTGATATTGTAATACGCTCGTCTTTTCTAATATACTCGTCGGTAGAATCCCTTTTTGTAATGATATTTTAAATTTGCTCATCAGTAGAGTTCTTTAATTTTATTGACACTTTAATTTGCTTGTTAGTAAAGTCCCCTTTTTTAATATTTTCGTCAGTTAAGTCTCTATCTGTATTGACATTTCAATATGTTCATCAGTAAAGTTCCTTTTATTTTTTTTTTGTTTTCCATAAAATATTTTTGTAATTTTGGATCAAAAATTCAAAAAATTACCCAAGCTAAGCACAGTCTAGGCGCCACTCTAGTGCAAATGTTTAGCCAAGTGCGTTTAGACTGTTTATGTACTTTGGAGCACTTTTCCAATTTTATGAAAATTATTGAAAAATGTGAAAATGCCGCCAAGCTAAGCACAGTATAAGTGAAAATGTCGCACAGAATTATTTGCAAATGCGTTTAGGACTGTGACTATACGGGAGCACTTGTTCAATTTTGATAATATGGAAAATTATAATTTTTGATTTATTTTTTAGATCATTTTTTATTTTGCTCGTCAGTAGAGACTTATTTTTTTAAATTGCTAATAAACTTGTTGATCAGTATAGTCCTTTTTTTATTTTGCTGATTTTTTTAATAATTTGCTCGTCAGTAGAGTTTCTTTTTATATTCAAGATTATGTAATAATTTGCTCGTCAGTAGAGTCCATTTTCATTTTCTTCTAGGTTATTCAATGATTGTCAGTAGAGACTCTTCTTATATTAAAGATTCTTTAATAATCATACTGATCAGTAGTGTCCTTTTTTTATTTTCTTCTAGATTATTGAATAATTTGCTCGCCAGTAGAGTCCCTTTTTTATATTCTAATTTTGTGTAAATTAGTCAACTATTTTTTTTGAAATTGAATTCGAAATGAAATGACGATTGTTAATGTAATAATTGATTTATGATTTACATTTGATTTGCTCAGATATAACAAAAGATAGCAAAAATAATTAACCTTACAGTATTTGTAATACCACGTTTAAAATTTCTCGAATTTTTCATTACGGTACGGGAAGTTCCAGCAATTTGCCTTAAGGCACGATGCCATACACCACTAGTTTGGTTATAAATATTCTACTTTACCTTGTACAGCTGATCTACACCGACTGGTGACTGTAGTCCACTCCCTGCATTGTCCGTAAGGAAAACTGGCAGTGTAAGCATTTTTATCAACACATCGACCTGTTAAAAAACCAAAATGTTATAAACAAGACGCACAAATAAATATGTCAATTATATAATATATATATATATATATATATGTCACCTTCATTCTGACACCATATACATTCCTCCTGCGTACAATTGTGGCAAGATGATAACTCTGAGCAAGGCGGCGAGCATGGAGGAGTCGCCACTGATTGCATTGACGTAGGTGCATTTACGTGATGTTCTAAGGCCCCACCTTCTAGTAAAGACGGATGATCAATTCCTCCAGAGATTTCTACTGAAGGATGACCCACAGAAGACGATAAAATATCTACACTTGCCGGTTGAATAGCTAGAACAAAGTTAATCATTACACAATTATAGTAAGGGGCACACCTATTGTGACAAGCTATACAAAGGTCATTTATAAAAAAAACTAGTGAATCCTTCTATTTGAAATTTTGAGGGTATGTTTATACATGTTTTGAGAATACACAGTAAAATTTTTGAAATAAAATATTAAATATTTTTGAAATGACATGCAATCTCCGGCGGCGCCAAAAAAGAAAAAAAGATCCTTCACTGCTGCAGTGATTGCAGCCTTCTCCGTTGATAAAACATAATTTAAAAAAATTCTTATTAAACTAGATAATATCGTTTGTACAATGACCTACAATAAAAATAAAAAACTAGTGGTGTATGGCATCGTAAAATATTCGAGAAATTTTAAACGTGATATTACAAATACTGTAACTTTCATTATTTTTGCTATCTTGCTTGTTATATCTGAGAAAATCAAATGTAAATTATAAATAAATCAATTTATTTCCAGAACATTAACAATCGTCAATTCATTTCAAATTCAATTTCAAAAAAAAAAAAAAATAGTTGCCTAATTTACACAAAATTGAAAAAGTGCTACCGCATAGTCACAGTCTAAACGCATTTGCAAATAATTTTGTGCCAGAGTGGCACTTAGACTGTGCTTAGCCTGGGTGATTTTTTGAATTTTTGTATTTAGTATTTTTCATCATCAACTGTATTTTACCAGACATGAAAATAAAAAGGACTCTACTTACAAGCAAACTATATTTTGCATTATATAAACTGACGAGCAAACTGAAATACTCGTCTGCTCGTCAGTAGAATCCCTTTTGTATATTTTAGCATTTGCTCGTCAGTAGAGTCCCTTTTTAATACTAGATTAAGTTTGCTCGTCAGTAGACTCTCTTTTTTGTATATTTTAGCTTTTGCTCGTCAGTAGAGTCCCTTTTTTGATACTAGATTAAGTTTGCTCGTCAGTAGACTCTCTTTTTTGTATATTTTAGCTTTTGCTCGTCAGTAGAGTCTCTTTTTTTTAATTCTAGATTAGTTTGCTCGTCAGTAGTCCCTTTTTTAATTCTAGATTAGTTTGCTCATCAGTAGAGTCTCTTTTTTAATTCTAGATTAGTTCTCCGGTGCATAAACAGTCTAAACGAACTTGGGTAAACATTTGTACCAGAGTGACGCTTAGACTGTGCTTAGCCTGGGTCATTTTTTGAATTAATTACAAAAATATTTAAAAAAAAAATAATTAGAAACAAAATGTTTTTTTTTCAAAACCAATTATTTTGTTGAAACAAGCAGAAAGTTCTTTGAATCATTTAAATCGGACGCTGCCATTTTTTTAACATTTAGCTCTGTATCTCCGAAACCGCTGGGCCTACCTTTGCCAAAAACTAATCAGCACATCTCCCTATTAATAGGAATCGAATGTTTTTTAAACCATTCAAATCGGTTGATCCGTGCGCCCGAAATGTTAATTTTTTCTGAGGTATGCCAAAATGTTCAGAAACCTTGAAAACGTCGAGAAATGCAAAAATTTTCATTTTTTTTCACCCTAAAAAAATCTCGTTAAACTGGATAATATTGTCTATAAAATGACCTACAATAAATAGAAAAAATCAAAAATTGACAAAATGACGGCGTTTTTTTTAAAAAAAGTCGAATTTTACCCAAAATTTTGGTAGTTTTTGGACTGCCAAAATTCGATTTTTGATCCGATCAAAAAATCGATAGGTCATTGTACGGAGAACTATATATAGAACATTAAAAAAAAATTCGATAGTGATCGGATCATTTGGTTATGAGTAAACGCTGCAGCAAATTCGGAAAATGCTGTTTCGAGAAAAACGCGTTTGAAGATAAAACGATCCTTATACTATACACTATATATATACTCTTTAAATGGCTGTGACTCAAAAACTATCTAAAATATCTATTTAAAATTTTAGTATGTTATTTTTGAAGGTATAATCTATCGAAATATGAAAAAATTGAAAATTCGATTTTTTGAGAACTTTACACTAGTTGTGCCACTTAAATAAAAACTAATAATATTAAACATTTAATAAACTATAAATCACTACTTAAGGTAGTCTTTTAGGGATAATTTTTCTGGCTTGATTAAGTCAATTCTTACACATTTCGGGAAGTTCAAGCAACTTGCCTTATGGCTAAATGCCACTTGCACCTAGTTTTTATCTTTCCCAGGGGGCTGTGACTCAAAAACTACTTAAGATATCGATTTAAAATTTTGGTACGTTATTTTTGAAGGTATAACCTATCGAAATATGGAAAAATTCAAAATTCGATTTTTTGAGAATCTCACACTAGGTGTACCCCTTAACCTACTATTTATTTACAAATACCAGTACTCACCAACAATGGTCCGGTTCTCCACAGCCCTACATTTAGGATTCTCATAATCCCATGAGCATTTTCCCCGGTTAGCCCTGCAGGCGTGACAAGTATGCAACTGTTTACAAATCGGTGCATTATCACTCGGACACTCATCCAAATCCTTAATCTTTCTCCTGTTCCAATCCGAAATTGTGGTGACATCTTTTCTGCATTTTTCTCTGTAGCACCCTGCACGATGTATCTGGTCACCGGGGACGCACCAGACACAGTCGAATTTATTTTGAACACATGAATAGCAGTCTTGTTGCTCTGAGCATCTTACATCGTTCGTGAGATCCATTAAACCTTTGCTGGTACGACCTTCTTCAGGACAAAACATGTATCGGACATCGTATTCTTCGTAATAACCGGACAGAAACTCACCAGAAATGTCTTTGACTTTGATACATCTGTAAAGGACGATTGAATTGTAATTAAACAAATGACCGTTTTTGATTTTTGATTAGTATTTTTCATATCAAACGTAATTGAATAGTCATCAAACTTTATGACTTCTCCTCATATGTGAGTATGATACATTTTTCAATGTTAATTTGTTTTTTTTAACTTCCCTTAGGGCAAGTTATAGTAATCGCAAAAAAATCGAAAATGAAAATTTTTATATATATATATATTTACGTTTCAAAGGTTTCTGAACATTTTGGCATACCTTAGAAAAGAATAGATGTATGTGTGTGTGTGTGTATGTACGTGTGTGTATGTATGTGCGGATACAAATTTTCGTCGACGATTTCGGGAACACGGATCAACCGATTTGAATAATTCAAAAAACATTCGATTCGTATTGATAAAGAGACGTGCTGATTAGTTTTAGGCGAAGGCAGGTCTAACCGCTCCGAAGATACGGGGCAAAAAGTGCCTCGGTATGCCTTAATTGCCTTAAGACAGAATTCCACTTACAGCTAGTTAATTTTTATGTTCGGACTGCATTTTTTGTGTAATTGTTAAGAATATAATCAAACTTACAAGACTAGCTGTAAGTGGAATTCTGTCTTAAAGCAATTAAGGCATCGTGCCTTAAAACAAATTGCTGGAACTTCCCGTACCAAAAATTATTATTTTTTTAAAAACGATTAACATTTTTGAAAAAAATTTACTTTGAAAAAATAAGATTTTTGAGAAACTATGAATTGGACAAAAAATTACTTTTTTTTGAAAAAAAAAAATTCATTTTTTTTTTTAATTTTTTTTTTGGAAAAAAAATTTTTCTTTATTTTGACATACTTTGGAAGATCTAAACTTTTTTTCAAAGCAATCGTACTGCTTTAACTGCATAAAGACGAAATATCAAAGCGCGTAAGCGCCGCGTCGCCGTCTAACGCGTAAACATTGGTACGGAACCCATAGAAATGTAAACCAAAATTATACTTATTGTTAAAATCTCTAAAAAAATATCTGATAATTTGATGTGCATATGTCTAATGATCATTTTTACCGCCAAATGGCATTATTTTTTACTTTTTTCATTAGATCCCCGAAACCGCTAGACCTGCCTTCATGAAAATTTGATCGGTTCTTCACCTTGTCAATACAAATAAAATGTTTGTTGAATTATTAAAATCGGACGCTCCGTTCTCTTAAAAACTGAGTTACCGTTTTTGGCACTTTTTGCCCCGTATCTTCGGAACGGCTAGACCTGCCTTCGCCAAAAACTAATCAGCACGTCTCCTTATAAATACGAATCGAATGTTCTTTGAATTATTCAAATCGGTTGATCGGTGTTCCCGAAATCGTCGACGAAAAATTGTATCCGCACATACATACACAAACACACACATACATCCATTTTTTCTAAGGTATGCCAAAATATTCAGAAACCTTTGAAACGTCGAGAAATGCAAAAATTTTCATTTTCGATTTTTTTGCGATTACTAAAACTTGCCCTACGGGAAGTTAAAAATATAAATTCAGAAGAATTTAGAGTGGTGAAAACTGCCTTGTGCAAATTTATATGCATTTTTAACTTCCCGAAGGAGAAGTTTATGTTTTCATAAAAAAATCCGACTCGCTAATTTTATGTTTTCTCGACGTTTCAAGCCATTCTGAATCGAATGAGACCAAATTTAGAAAAAGTATGTGTGTTGTGTGTGTGTGTGAACAGATTTTTTGCCGTAAATCGACGTTTTCTCCAAAAGGGCTGGATCGATTTCAAAAATTTAAAAGCCATTCGATGTATCGCGATGAGGACTTTTATTTGTCAGTTTTGTGCGACGATCGGCCAAGCCGTTTCTTTATAAATAGCAGGAAAGTGAAAAATTTTACGTCTACGTTTTAGCCCGCAATTATGAATCAATTTTGAAAATTCAAAAACCGTTCGATAAATATTGGTTGGGAATCGTGCTGATTAGTTTTTGGTAAAGATCGGGCGGGCCGTTTTCTTGTAATACAGTGTTAAAAAATTTTTTGTCGACGATTTTTGACGGTAGATACCACAGTCTTGTAGATCATACTAAAATATTACGACCCTACGACAAGTCGTTTAATTTTAAAGATTCTTCAAAGTTTGCAAAAATTGGAATCGTTTTTTTTTTTGACATTTGATAAAATTAGACCTTTCATCGACATTTGTTCAAAAACGCCTGTGAGAAATTTAAAAGCCATTTGATGAATCTCAATGACAGCTATTGTGTGTTAGTAACTTTTGATTTTAACAAACCTCCAAAAAATCTACTCATTTTCTCAAACTTTGATCAATTTTTAGTATTAAACTACTTGTCGTAAGGCCGTAATATTTCAGTAAGTTCTAAAAGACCATGATATATATCGCCAAAAAAAGTTCCATAAAAATCGGCTTAATTTTTTTTTCAACAGTGAATTACAAGAAAACGGTTCGGTAGATTTTCAACTAAAACTAATCAATATCATTCCTAACTAATATTTTTCAAACAGTTTTTGATTTTTCAAAATCGGTTCGGTAGTTTGAGGTTAAATGTGGACGAAAAGTTTAACACTTTTTTAAATTACAAAGAAACGGATCGCTGCATAAAACTTAGAAAAAATAATCCACATCAAAATACGTCGATTGGCTTTTCAATTTTTGAAATCGGTTCAGGCATTTTTGAGCAAACGTCGACGAAAGTCATAATTTTGACAAACGCCAAAAAACGACACTAACTTTACAAACTTTTTAAAATTAAATTTTTGGAAATTAAACGACTTGTCGTAAGACCGTAATATTCTAGTATGATCTATAAGACTATGGTATCTACCATCAAAAAAAAAAAAATCGTGAAAATCGCCGAAAAAAAAATTTTAACACCTTATTACAAGAAAACGGCCCGGCCGATCTTTATCAAAAACTAATCAGCACGATTCCCAACCAATATCTTTCAAACAGTTTTTGAATTTTCAAAATCGATTCAGAATTGCGGGCTAAAACGTAGACGTTAAATTTTTCACTTTTATGCGATTTATAAAGAAACGGCTCGGTCGATCGTCGCACAAAACTGACAAACAACAGTCCTCATCGTAAAACTTAGATAAAATAAGATAAAGATAACAATAAGATGAAAATTATGTAAGTACGTAATTGTTTAACGGTAAAACTTAGATAAAATAAGATAAAGATAACAATAAGATGAAAATTATGTAAGTACGTAATTGTTTAACGGTAAAACTTAGATAAAATAAGATAAAGATAACAATAAAATGAAAATTTTATAAGTACGTAATTGTTTAACGGTAAAACTTAGATAAAATAAGATAAAGATAACAATAAGATATCGATCGATTGAATTTTTGAAATCAGTGCGGCCGTTTTTGAAAAAAACGTCGATTTACGGCAAAAAATCTGTTCACACACACACACACATACTTCTTCCTTAAATTTGGTCTCATTCGATTCAGAATGGCTTGAAACGCCGAGAAAACATAAAATTAGCAATTCGGATTTTTTGATGAAAACATAAACTTCTACTTCGGGAAGTTAGATATAGATTTTGCATGACCGGTCGCGGTAGGAATAGCAAACATGATATGTCGGTAGAAATAGTGTTAAACTAAATAAGACTGAAATAAATCAAAACTCTTACTTCATGTCTTTAACATCCCACACACACTTCACTCCTGGTCTCGTGTTTAGGCATTCAAACTCCGACAAAAGCTTTGAGCAATCTCCTGGCGTGTACTTCAACATGTCACTCAACATCTGTCCATTAAATCCTCCGTAAATATACAGAGCACTCTCAAAAAGTACAGCCGAATGTCCAAATCTTGCCAAATCTGCATGGAGCTCTCGTGGAATCTCCAATTCGTGCCAGGAATCACAGACAACATCATAGGCAAGAAGTTCGTTGGAATAACATTTGGCTCCAAAACTGTGAGAGGTGTCGTTGTGTGTGTTACCACCAAAGACCAACATTAGACCTTCCGATACAAAATTGGCAGTATGCAGAAACCGAGAACTGGGAGCTGGTGTAAGAAGTTTCCAAATGCGAGTTTTTGGCTCGTAGCTGTATAATTTTGAAGTCAGGTATTGGTTGCTTTCTGACTCGGAAATGATACCTGAAAAAAAGTTGATTTTTTTTCAAGAAACGGTATCAATTTTAGTATTTGTTATCAAAGTAGACATGTTAAAGTATAATATACTAAAATTACAAAAATGTAAAACAAATCAATAAATTATTAAGAATTTTCAAATCTTTCAATAATCAATTCAATAATTTATCAACATTCTTAGACTTAGAAGTACTTTTCTCATAAAATAGTAGAAATTTTGATTTTTTTTTAAAACGTTATCGATTTTAGTATTTGTTATGAAAGTAAATATTAGGTTGTCAAATATCTCCCTTCCGCTTTTTTGCTATTGGTTTATAATACAAAAAAGCGGAAGGGAGATATTTGACAACCTAATATATTAAAGTATATTATACAGAAATTACAACAACGTAAAACAAATAGATGAATTATTAACAATTTTCAAATCTTTCAATAATCAATTCAATAATTTACCAACATTCTTAGACTTAGAAGTACTTTTCTCATAAAATAGTAGAAATTTTGATTTTTTTTTTGAAACGTTATCGATTTTAGTATTTGTTATGAAAGTAGACATGTTAAAGTATAATATACTAAAATTACAACAATGTAAAACAAATAGATGAATTATTAAGAATTTTCAAAACTTTCAATAATCAATTCAATAATTTATCAACATTCTTAGACTTAGAAGTACTTTTCTCATAAAATAGTAAAAATTTAGATTTTTTTTCAAGAAACGTTATCAATTGTAGTATTTATTACCAAAGTAGGCATGTTAAAGTATAATATACTAAAATTACAACAATGTAAAACAAATAGATGAATTATTAAGAATTTTCAAATCTTTTAATAATCAATTCAATAATTTATCAACATTCTTAGACTTAGAAGTACTTTTCTCATAAAATAGTAGAAATTTTGATTTTTTTTTAAAACGTTATCGATTTTAGTATTTGTTATCAAAGTAGACATGTTAAAGTATAATATACTGAAATTACAAGAATGTAAAACAAATAGATGAATTATTAAGAATTTTCAAATCTTTCAATAATCAATTCAATAATTTATCAACATTCTTAGACTTAGAAGTACTTTTCTCATAAAATAGTAAAAATTTAGATTTTTTTTTTCAAGAAACGTTATCAATTGTAATATTTATTACCAAAGTAGGCATATTAAAGTATAATATACTGAAATTACAACAATGTTAAACAAATACTCGAATTATAAAAAAATTTGTCTCGAATTATAAATTTAAGGTTTGTCGGTTTTCAAAAACCGGTTTTAAAAATCGGTTTTTGGCAAAAATTATAGAATTCTAAAACCGGTTTTTTAGTGAAAAAAGTCGGTTTTCACTGTATAAATGGAAAATGACAAATATAGCCAAATATAAAAGATAGATGAAAGCGTTTTGATTCTTGAAATCATTTCGTTACAATAGCATTTGATATCTTATCAGTCTGCAATGGTTCCCAGAAAGGTTTTGTATTAGGGTTTATACAAAAACCGACATTTCAGAAAACCGGTTTTCGAATTTTAATTTTACCAGAAAACCGGTTTTAACCGGTTTTCGAATTTTATATAGAAAATCAATTTTTGCAACAACAATTTTGTAACAACAAAAACTCATCCGCAAATTTAGTGCGATTTAAAGCAGAATATTTGACTGAATAATAAATTGTTGTTCCATTTTATGGATAGTAAACAAGATTTTTTTTTTAATTTCAATAATTATTACAACTGTTAAATTATTAACATCTAGTAATATTGATAAATAATAATATAAATTTAAATAAATAAAAGTGCAAAGTATAAAATTTACCTGAAAATAATATCCGTAATATGATTTGATATAAAATATAAGCAAATAATAAGCAAGATTAATTTAATTTTGATTAGTAGAACAAAAAATAATAGTTTATCTGAATTAAATAACTTTGAAAATAATCATTCGTTATTATATATTTATATTTTATGATAGCGGATATATATTTTTATGATAGTGGCAGGAAAGTTTTCGAAAAATTAAAAATAATACATTTTTAAATAAAAAACATTTATTAGTTTAATAAAAATACAAAAATATTAAATATTTATACATACTTGTTAATATCAATTTTAGTTTTAAAAACAATTAAGCTAAACCCCGAGTATTTTCTATTCCGAGCAATTTTTATTAATTAGTTTAAAAAAATTCCAAATATTTTTTTTATTAATAAAATATGATTTTAAAAGAGTGAGATGAGAACTATCGATTTGTTACTTAGACGTGTCCTTTGTTTACTCATAAAATTTCAAAAAATAGAAAATACTCTTTCACTCTCGACCAAGTTAGACTTAAATATTTTTAAAGCCTGATATATTAATTTCAAGTTTTTTGTTCTTTTATTTGTAGCTTCTAAAACTCAAAACTTTCTCTTTGAAGTTTGAGTAGAGAAAGTTATACTTCTTCGAGAAATTAATATACACACTGGTATAAAAATCTAAATTAATATACACATTAGATAATAAGATAACACAAATCCTTTCTGTGAACCATAGAAGACTGATAAGATTCCGAATACTATTGAACCGATATGATTTTAAGAATCAAAACGTTTTCATCTATCTTTTACATTTGGCTATATTTGTCATTTTCCATTTATACAGTGAAAACCGACTTTTTTCACTAAAAAACCGGTTTTCGAATTCCGTAATTTTTACAAAAACCGGTTTTTAAAAACCGACAAACCTTATTTTGTTTATATTAATTTAGATTTTTATATTAGTGTATATTATTAATTTAAATCAGTGTGATTTCTCCTTGAAGAAGTAAATTCCTCTACTCAAACTTAAAAAAAGAGTTTTAAACCCTAGAAGTCACAAATTAAAGAACAAAAAACTTAGAATTATTATATCAGGCTTTAAAAATAATTAAAGCTTAATTCGGTCGCAAGTATGAGAGTATTTTCTATTTCAGAAAATTTTGTGAGTAAAGCACATGTCTAAGTAGCAATTCGATAGACGTTCTCAGTTTTTTGAAATCATATTTTATTAAACAAAAAAAAAAACAATTAGAATGTTTAAAATTAATTAATTAAAGTTGCTCGGAACAGACAATACGCGAGTTTAGCTTAATTATTTTTAAAACTAAAATTGATATTAACAAGTATGTATCAAACATGTATCTAATATTATTTTTTTTTTTTTTAATTTAATGCATTTTTTATTTAAAAATGTATTATTTTTATTTATTCGAAAACTTTCCTTTCACTATCATAAAAATGTTTTTATTTTTATATGTGAAAATGATGCAGGAATAACGAATAATTATTTTCAAAGTTATTTAATCAAGATAGTCTATTATTTTTTAGTTCTACTAATTAAAATTAAAATAATTTTGTTTACTATCTACAAAATTGAACAATGAATAAATTCAGTCAAATACTGCTCTAAATTACACTAATTTTGCGGATAAATTACAAAAAAAAATCGAGCAAAAATTTATTTTCTATGTAAAATTCGAAAACCGGTTGAAACCGGTTTTTTTGTAAAATTAAAATTCGAAAACCGGTTTTCTGAAATGTCGGTTTTTGTATAAATCTTAGTTAAACCTCTTTTTTGCTCCAAAAAGTAATTTTTCAACTCTTACCTCCATAAACATATATTTTATGTGTGAGTTCATCATAGCTGGCACTGTGCCCATATCCTCCTTTTACAGGATACCCTCTGGTTTCCAAAATCCTCCACTCTCTGGTACCAAAATTGAATTCCTGAACAGTGTTCAAATACCCAAATTCAGGGCTGTGCCCAAAAATTATGATCATGCTCTCCGATTTTTTGATGTCGTAGGATGTTATCAGAGTTGCTGTGTGTCCTGCTGATTTTAAAGGACCTGAGGAAAAAAATCACACAACATAAAAATCTATTAGCAATAAAATATCTTTTTTCAAATCTGGTGACGAGCAATATAGAAAAACAAAAAATTATTCAAAATTTTAATATCCCTGTGTATATAATTGTTTTTACTAGATTTTAGAAAATTTATCTTGTTTTTTATTGTAATGACCGAGACGAAAATTAAAAGTTATTTCAAGAAAACTAAAAAAATATCCTCAATCCATATGTTCGAGCTATATTAAAGGGTGCGATTTATATTGATATAAACAAAAAGTCATCAATCCAAAATCATATAAAAAATCAAATCAATCAATACGTTATCAAAAACAACATTGAAATTATTATAAATACGATTATAGCTTGTAATTAACATAAAATAAATACATAAAGTTACAAATTAAAGTGTTTATAACAAATTTGGTCCTTCAAAATTCAATCAAACAATCATTGAAAAAAACACCATATATTGCAAGTTACGGAAATACTAAAGTCCGCATTTCAACTACGAATTTCTCAAAATTTCAATATCAAAGTGCATAAAACTGTTTTTACTAGATTTTAATAAATTTTATCTAGTTTTTACTAATGTAAACAAATTATAATGGCCTAGAAGAAAATTAAAAGTTATTTGAAGAAAACTGAAAAAAAGTATCCCGAGTTATGGAAATACTTAAGTCCGCATTTCTACTACGATTTATTTAAAATTTCAATATCAAAGTATATGAAACAGTTTTTACTAGATTTTAGTAAATTCATGATCGGTTTGTCATTGTAATTAGCATTTACGACTTGAAAATGTAATAACTTGTAATAATATTACAAACTAATAACTAACAAACTAATAACTAACAAATATTGTTTTCGCAACTTGTACACTCATCATGTAATGTAAAAATTTGGTAAAAATGTAATAATTGTGTTTGAAGAACTTTATGTAATTAACATTAGCATACATTCATTGACTGATGGAATTTTTTTTTACTTTTTCGCTGACGATATAATCTCATTCTTTGAACAGATGTAATATCTGTCTTGCCTAAAAATATTTTTCATTAATAACTTCAAAGATTTATAGAAACTACAAGGCCATTTTTGATTTTATTTTTATTTGAGTTTTGCTCGTCAGTAGAGTCCCATTTTCTTTCATTTTTAATTTAATTTGTTTTTCATAATCTCTTATACCAGGCACCTCTGTCTGACTGAGATATGAAAATAATGTATATATGTAAATAAATAAATAAATAAATAATTATCAGTAGAATTTATTTTTCTTTTATTTTTAATTTGTCATCAGTTAAGTACATTTTTAATTCTATTTTTAGTTTGGTCGCCAATTTCCAACTTTTCCAATTTTGTGAAAAGATGAAAAATGTGAAAATGCCGCCAAGCTAAGCACAGTATAAGTGAAAATGTCGCACAGAATTTTTAGCGACTGTGACTGTACGGGAGCACTTTTTCAATTTTGTGTAATTTTGGAGGCAACTATTTTTATAGATTAAATTTGAAATGAAATGATGATTGTTAATAAATATCGTGGAGATAAATTGCTTTATGATTTACATTTGATTTGCTCATATATAACAAACAAGATAGTAAAAATAATGAAAGTTACACTATTTGTAATAATATATTCGAAAACGTTTAAAATTACTCGAATATTTCATTACGGTACGGGAAGTTCCAGCAATTTGCCTTAAGGCACGATGCCATACACCACTAGTATACGTCATTTTATCACCGAAAAAAATACAGTCCATAGGCTTGAAATTTATCGATTGAACAAATGTTATATGCAAATTGTCTATAGACAAACCTTTCAACTTTTCTTATGTTAATAATTTATTTCTAAATTTATTATCATTTATATACATTAACATTTTTTCTCAAGTGCCGGATAATCGGGCAACGTGTAATTTTTTTGCCTCCAAACTTTATCGTACTCTTCCTGATCAGCTTTCTGAAACCTCAGACTTCTCTGTTTCAATTTTTGATCACCGCAGTCGCAAGAATCTTGAATGTATTTTGTGAAGACATTGGTCGCCAAACTGCCTTTCTCCAATAAGTTCATGTGTGCCAAACAGTTCTTGTACTTGTTCTGCTGGCTTACCAGGATGGAATGATCGTAACTTCGATCAGCACATTTTTCTTCCATCTGCTTAACTTTTTTGTCCCTTGCCTGTTGGAGAATGAACTCACCAAATTCGCGATTCTTTTTGTACTTTTCTGCATTATAAAGGTCTTCGAGATTTTGTTGTTGCTGCCTGATTTGTTGGTCTAGCAAGTCAGATTCTTTTTTGTCTTGTTTTTCCTTAGCCAAAGCATCGAGTTTATGTTTGATGAGTTGTTTAGATTGTACGAAGCTGTCGTATCTGATTTTATCAGACCAGTTTCTTATTTTAGCTGATGCCGCTAAATTCTTGGTGTCCTTGTCGACTCTGTCTTGTTCAACAAGTCGTTCGCGTAGTTTGTCCACGCAAAGTTGATTCTGATGGTACTTCTGCAAATCTTCCAAGTACATTTCAGTTTCATTGTACATACGCACCTTGTCTTCCCTGGTTTCGCGTTTTTGTTGCTCCATAAAGTCTTTGATGTATTTAGCAAAAGTATCATCGATAGTCTTAAGTTTTTGTTTTTCATCACGAGCGTACTTGGCATTTTTAACAATCTGAGTCTCCAACTCGTACTTGTACTTGAGCTTCTTTTCATGCTCCAATTGTTTGCGCTCCAATTCGTCCTTTTTAAACACGGCTACATTTTCGTCCATTTTTGCACGATCAAGCAACTTCAACTCTTGCTGGTGACATTTGGCTAAGTGTTTATCCAGAACCTGCTCGTGCAGAGTTTTGACAATGCACTTGTTTCGGTCTTTGAGTCTTTGTTGTTCCAGTTTGTGGTAATCTAAGGCTTGTTGACGTTCTCTGTCGGATACCTCTTGCCACATTTCTTCTTTTTTATCTTGGTAGTAACGGATGATCTTTTTGTCTTCCATCTGTTGCAGTTGTGATCTCTTGGATTCGATGAGCATGGCTCTTGATGCTTCTGGTCGCAAGTCTTCGCAAATGTTCAGATACAGTTGCAAGGTTTTCTTGTTTTTCAATTCCATACGTTTGTCCTCCTGGGTGTCTTTTAAGTGCTGCAAACGTTCCTTCATGAGGTCGTAACGCTTTTCAGAATCCGTCTGGGCTTGGGCAACGGCTTCTTTGTACAAAGCTTCTTCTTCTTGGAGCAGAAGTCGACGTAGTTTCTCACGTTTTTTTCTCAAATCGTTATCATAAGCGTATAAAGTATGTTTGACCTCTTCCTTTAGATTAGTAAGCAGTTGCTTTCGGTCCAGGTGGTCTCTGCTTTTGCTCTGGTAAAGTAACCATTGATATTCTTTCTGGCGTTGCAGCTCGACTGCACCAGAAACGATGTTTTTTTCTCTCTTGGTCTCGCGGATTGGTTTGGAGGCGCATACTTCCAAATCGCATTTCACTTTTTTAATAACCGGTTCTAAAGGTTTTCTCTTTTTTAAATTTTTTGGCGGCCCAAACATGGTGGAAAATTTGTAAAAAAAATTAAAAATATTTTAAAAAATATATTGACATTTAAAAAGTGACAGTTGGTCATATTAATATGAATAAATTGAAACAATTGGTGGGGAAATCGAGGAGTATTTTGAAGTAAAATGTCTTAAGGCGCGACTAGGGTGTAAATCCGTGCAAATGCAACGGAAGTGCGTTACGGCAGATATGATAAGATGAGACTCAAGTGCCAAAGATTCATTATTCGCTCTCGATGAAATAATTTCTATACGGGTCAATCGTGATTAGTCGTCGTGTATGTGAATAGATATCTGTCGTTGTATAACAAGAAAATCGGCATAAATAAATAAACATTTTAAAGTTGCATAGTAGTACGTATCTTGATTTAATGAAAAATACCTGAATCAGAAGAATATTTTACCCAGTTCCTTGAAAATAATAAAACAAATTAAACATTTGTGCCGTGTACTAAACGTAAGTTTATTGATTAGAAATTATTTCTATATTATTCGTAAATAAAAAGGGACTCTACTGACAACCAAACTAAAAATGGAAAAAGGAGAGGGATTCTACTGACGAACAAAATAAAAATAAAATTCAAAAGAGACTCTGCTGATGATTAAATTAAATGTAAAGGTAAAAAAGGTAGAAGGTAGAAAGGTAGAAGAAACTATACTGACGAGCATATAAAAATTAAAGAAAAAGACTCTACTGACGACCAAACTAAAAATGAAAAAGGGAGGGGGACCCTACTGGCGACCAAACTAAAAATAGAATTAAAAATGTACTTAACTGATGACAAATTAAAAATAAAACGCACTCGGGTAAACATTTGTAAGTCTAAACGCACTCGGGTAAACATTTGTACCAGAGTGGCGCTTAGACTGTGCTTAGCCTGGATCATTTTTTGAATTTTCAATCCAAAATTACAAAAATATTTTATGAAAAATAAAAAAAGATGTAATAATTTTTTATCCTCAAAAGCAATTGTTTTGTCAGTACAAGCATAAAGTTTTTAGATCATTCAAATCGGACAATCAGTTCACTAAAAAACTGCCATTTTTTGCACATTTAGCTCTGTATCTTCGAAATCGCGGGACCTGTCTTTGCCAAAAACTAATCACCTCTTCTCCCAATCATTACAAATTGAATGTTTTTTAGATCATTCAAATCCGATACTCCGTTTCTCTCAAAATCTCGATTTGTATTTTCTGCACTCTTTGCTCCGTATCTCCGTAACGGCTGGACCTGCCCTTGCCAAAAACTAATCAGCACATCTCCCTATCAATACAGATCGAATGTTTTTTAAACCATTCAAATCGGTTGATCCGTGCGCCCGAAAACGTGGACGAAAAAATGCGGACATAAAAAACACACACATTCATTAATTTTCTGAGGTATGCCGCTTAAAAATGTTCAGAAACCTTCAAAACTTCGAGAAATGCAAAAATTTTCATTTTCTATTTCCGGCCCATTACTATAACGACCATACGGGAAGTTAACTAGTGGTGCATGGCATCGTGTCTTAAGGCAAATCGCTGGGACTTCCAAAAATTCCGAAAAAAAAATCATTTTCGATTTGTTTGCGATTACTACAACTTACCCTACGAAAAGTTGAAAAAATAAATAAAAAAAAACAATAATATTTAAAATAAAAAGCTGCACACTTAGGACATACACCAACTAGATTATTTCTAGATATTAAAGAAAAATTATAAAAATCATAACTAATAATAGTTATCAAAAGAAACATATAATTGTGTGTATTTATGCACACAAAGTTTGGATTACTTTATATCACTTACCACACATAGAGTTAACCCCATCACACTTCTCCGACAAAGGAATCCTCACAGTAATATTCTCCCAAGTCTTAGCACTAACATCGTAAGCCCACAACTCATTACAAGCTCCCCCGATGACATGTCCATGACTGTCCGCACTATTCAGTCTGTGATGCATACCACTCTTTCTACCACTCGACTTGGGAGGATGCTCATTGGAGTACAATCCCTGGGAGCCCCATGACTTCATCGAAGCATGATCTTGACTGGAAGAAGTCTGCGAGGAAGAGGCCGAAAGAACTCCTCCGTACATAAAGACTTTGTCACCGTAGATGACAGCTGAGGCTCCATAACGAGGTGACGGAGATGGGGCACCTCTGTCTGCGTGGACCGTTTCCCAAACGTTACCTGAGGGGAAAAATCACAAGTATTAAGATAATGTTAAGGATAATATATATATATATATATATATATATATATATATATATATATACATTGCTTTATTACCGTTGAAGTCATAAGTGTATACAAGAGCATTAGCCCTGGAATAGCTCTCTCCTGCGATAACATGTAAGGAATCTTTCCAAACAACCGCACAATGTCCAGCTGAACCTGGTGGTGCAAAATCTTTGGCACGAGCAGCTCTCCACCAGCCCTTTGATGCATGTTGGGAGCAATCTGAACCACGGAAACCTTTGCCACATTGGCACCTGAAAAAAAGAAAACTGAGTAAGTATAACATATTATATATATATATATATATATATATATATATATATATATATATATAAATGGAGCTCTCGATAAAATGATGCGCTAAAACTCGAAAACGGCTAAACCGGTTTGGCCAGTCTTAGTCTTAAAAAACTCGTGCTAATTAGTAGGTTGTCGGAAAGGTGAGATATTATTTCAAAATCGCGTGGAGACTTTACATTTTTAATTTGAACATTTTTGTAGAAGCGTAATACGAATAAAACAATGGACGGTGGCTAATACGTCAAATGTCAAATGTTTTTGACAGATCATGTTCAATTACGTTTAATAGGATGTTTTAGGTGAATATTATTTAATTGTAGTTAGTAGTTTTGTTTGTAGTTTCATTTATATACAAAAACGTTACTTAACGTTTTGACGTAAACAAATTGACGCCTTAAAATATATTTTAAAAATATAAAGCGTTGTAATACAGTTATGAAATTATAGTATGTCATTTCTTAATATGTGTACTAAATTATAAAAATATAAAATCAAATATGTTTCTAACAGAAAAAACTAAAAAATTGCAATGCACACGTGCATACTCTATTTTTATTAGTTGCGAATCGACGGTTGGTTATGATATGAAAAGCACTTTTGAAAAATATTTTAAAAATATACAATATTATACTAGAGCTATAAAATTTTAGTATGTTATTACCTAATATATGTACTAAATTATAAAAATATAAAATCACATACAATACTAACAAACAAAGCTATGAATGTGCAATTTTTTAAACAAACGCACTCTTGCATATCTAGTTTCCAATAGTTGCAAGTCCACCACCACGGTTTGATGAGTATTTTGAAAAATATTTAAAAATATAAAACGTTATATTGGAGTTACAAAATTTTAGTATGTTATTACCTAATATATGTACTCAATGATAAAAATATAAAATCACATATGTTTCTAACAAAAAAAGCTATAAATGTGAAATTTTGTAAACAAATGCACTCTTGCATATCTAGTTTCCAATAGTTGCAAGTCCACGGTTTGATAAGTATTTTGAAAAATATTTAAAAATATAAAACGTTATATTGGAGTTACAAAATTTTAGTATGTTATTACCTAATATGTGCACTGAATTATAAATATATAAAATCACATATGCTTCTTACAAAAAAACAGCTATAAATTTGCAAGTCAGTAAAAACGTGTACGCAAGTGTTACTACAAACTCAACAATATCAACTTTTTTGAAATGTTAATATGAAAGATCTCATTTGTATAATTATATACTCATTGGCATTTATGAAGCATTTTCTAGGTTATATTATTTTTTATTCATGTTATTTCAAAACTTCCAGAAATGATTGTATTGATAAAATATAGACAAACTAATGGGGTTTATTGTTTTTATAATACCTCATTGCATATAGCATTCAAACAACACTTAATCCTTATACATTACAAGTATTAATATATTTGATTCTCTAGAAATTGTTTAGAATATATACCTTTCTTAGCAAAACAAAGTTTGCTGGGTCAGCTAGTATGTATATATATATATATATATATATATATATATATATGTTTTCATATACTTGCCTCTTGTGTTCATGATCACATACACCTTGGCCCAGATGAGCAGAACATTCTCCCGGACAAACTGGTTGATCGCAAGCTGAGCCCAACCAACCTGGTTCACATATGCATACACCTTCGCTACAGGCACCATGACCTTAAATAATAAAATATTAAAATTATAAAAGACTATTACTTAAAATTAAAATTTGATTTTCATTATTAACTTCCCGTAGGGTAGTTATAGTAATGGGCCAAAAATCGAAAATGAAAATTTTTGCCGTTCTCGACGTTTTGAAGGTTTCTGAACATTCTGAACAAATTATTACATCTTTTTTTATTTTCTATAAAATATTTTTGTAATTTTGGATTGAGAATTCAAAAAATCACCCAGGCTAAGCACAGTCTAAGCGACACTCCGGTACAAATGTTTACCACAAGTGCGTTTAGACTGTTTATGCACTGCTCCAATTTTGTGAAAACTATTGAAAAATGTGAAAATGCCGCCAAGCTAAGCACAGTATAAGTGAAAATGTCGCACAGAATTATTTGCAAATGCGTTTAGACTGTGACCATACGCGAGCACTTTTTCAATTTTGTGCAAATTAGGCAACTATTTTTTTTTTTTAAATTGAATTTGAAATGAAATGACGATTGTTAATGTTCTGGAGATAAGTTGATTGATTTATTATTTACATTTGAATTCAACTTCTTAGGTTGGCGATGTATGAATTAGTAAAATAGAATTTTATTTTTGAAGTAAAACTTCTTAAGTCGCGATGTGATATAGAGTCTGTTTTGATTAAACGTAAAAGAGACACAACAGTATATAGTGAGAAAATGAGAGAGAGAGATATATAAAACACTAGTGCGAAAGAGAGCAACATATACCTGATAATGTAGAGTGACAGAGTAAGATATATGAGTACGATGTGACCACCAAATTTAGCAACTACCTTTTTAAAAGTAAATTTTTGATAAAAGGACCAGAGATACCAATTTTTGTTGTTAATAGAAATTGTAGATAATTTAATTGGCTATAAATTTGCTGAATATTGCAAAATGGTGGGACATTTCGTTTTGAAGTTATAAATAAATAAATACAAATCGAGCTGGTCCAAAAGTGTGAAGCAAGATATACTGACTCAACCTCCAAAATTTAACAGCAACCTGTTTCATTGCAAATTTTGGGTAAAAGGATATGAGATACAACATTTTGTTATTAACAAAAGTTGTAGATAATCTAATTGGCTATAAATTTGCTGGATATTGCAAAACAATCGGACAATTTGTTTAGAAGTTATAAACAAATAAAAATCGAACCAGTCCAAAAATATAAAACGAGGTATATTAAAATGTAGCCTCCTCAATTTAACAACAATCATTTTAGTTCTTATAAATGCCGCCAAGCTAAGCACAGTATAAGTGAAAATGTCGCACAGAATTATTTGCAAATGCGTTTAGACTGTGACAATATCGGAGCACTTTTTCAATTTTGTGTAAATTAGACAACTAAACTATTTTTTTGAAATTGAATTCGATATGAAATGACGATTGTTAATGTTCTGGAGATAAATTTATTTATTTAAAAATAATGAAAGTTACAGTATTTGTAATAATATATTTGAAAACGTTTAAAATTTCTCGAATATTTCATTACGGTACGGAAAGTTCCAGCAACTTGCCTTAAGGCACGATGCCATACACTACTAGTTCAAAAATATAATTACCTGAACAATTCACACTAGAGTCTCTCGTCGGACAAGCACTTGGACCAACTCTATAAGTAACATTGAATCCGGACATATTATAAGCATCGTCCGAAAAAAAATGCAATAAGGCTGAACCTGATCTTGCTACAATCTCTGGCACCCTTCTCACCGAGTAGGAATCTTTGTACATCAGACCACTAGAAAAAGAAAAATTATATATATATATATATACAGAGCCGGTAATGGGGTCCTTAGCGCCGGCATGCAGCTTTTTTTCTAGCGACCCCCCTATTAATTTTATCATTACAGTTTATCATTAAAATTATTACTATTACATTAAAATAATTTACATATTTTCTAAAAATTAATTTTTAATTATTCTGGATTAAGTACATAAAAATTAGATATAATTTAAAAGCGTATAAAATATATTGATTTTAAATTTATTTAGAAAATCGAAGCGATTCGCGGGTTTATTATAAGCAAATATTTTTAAATTTTCAATTATTTTGAACGTAAGTGAAATATTAATATTTGGGTTTTAAAACATTTTACTTATTTATTATGCGATTTATCCTATTGAGCAAATCATGCCCAGAAGGCTAAAAAAAACTAGATTTTCATTTTCAATCATAACACTCGTATTTCATGTTGGATTTTTAAAATTTTAATTTAATTTAATTTTTTACTATTTACAATATCCAAAATTGCGTCGTAAACTTCTCCTTATTGATATCGTAAGAGCCGAATTGTATTTATCCTTGCTGTCCCGTCATATTCAGAGTATCAGTTTGTTGTTTCAAAGTTAAATTTTTAACGTATTTTAGAGGTATTGTCCAAAAATCAGTAAAAATGCAAAAAAATTACACATTTCTTGAACTATATTGAAACAAAACTTGTTATATTTGTATGATGTATTAATTCTGCATAGTTAATAATTATTAAATTTAGAGTATGGACACTACTAGGTATAAAAAAAGCCTTAAGATTTTTGTTCCAAAGTAAATTTTGCTTCCATTTTTCATATTTGTTCCATTTCCATAACCCTAACCACGCATGTCTTCAACATTCAAAATTCATCAGATGCGAAACATTTGCAACAAAAGCAAAAGTTACAATTCAATTTCTCGGAAAAAACATGCCATTTTCTAAGCACTGACTCCCCATTTTTTATTTCCCGATTATAATTTGTTTTTATTTGTTAAAAAGTTTCGTTTCAACTAAATCAGCTCGCAATTTTTCGTCAATAATACCCAATAATTAATTTAATATTTCGCAGGTTTGCGCTTATGGGATTGAACACTCGATAATTTCTTTTTCGATTCCACGGTAACTTCAAAAAAACAAAATTGGATAAGTAGATTAAGCCGTAAACAGAGCTGTTATTTACTAATTTTCAGAGTTATTAATCGGTTAATTGTTTTTACTGATATCACATTGCAAAATAAATAATGCTTTTTGTGTCTCCGATCCCTATAGGTAAGTTAGATTGTTTATTATAATTTATTAAGTATTCTAGATTTTATATAAATAATTCTAGATTTTATATAAAAAATTATAAATATGTATTATATTATAAATTTAATTTCCGAAACTCGTTTTGGCGCCCCCTAAGGCGTGCGCCCGCATTTTTTGCATGCATCGCATGCAAGGCAGGACCGGCCCTGTATATATATATATATATATATATATATATATATATATATATTAGCAAAGTCTAGTAATCGGGCATAACATCAATAAAAAGCATGAATTTCTTTCAAAAATTTATTTTAAATCCATACGTTTCGGCTATAATCCTAGCCTTCATTCAGTGGAAACTAAAAATAAAATTAAAAACTAAAACAATTGAATTAGAGTGAAAAAGTGAATTAGTGACTTACAATTAGTTAATCTTAATGTTAAATTGGAAAATTGTAATAATCCATGGTATCAAGATATGGTAATGCACTACACTATGTATTATAAACATTAAACTTGTAATTACACAATATTTTCACTAAATACTAATTTAAAAAATCATAATTGGATAGTGTGTTGTTCGTAGACTGGTTGAAGATATAATGGAGAAAGGACATTTAAAAAAATATTTTTTGCCAAGATTCTACACATGTGTGGAACGAATTGCGAGTCCTTTGCGCGTCGTTTTTATTGTTTTGTGAGAAATTTGGAAATGCTATCTAAATAAAAGAGATTTGTGTCGCACAGCGTGTTTTGTTCATTCCGTTTATTTATTATTTCATTGCTGTAAATAGTTGAAAAAGATCCTTCAATAATTCTTCGTTTGAATAAATTTTGTTCGAATTGTAGTACAGTTGGGTTAGAAAAGTCCATATTGTGTTTTAAAGTATTAATGTAGTCAGCAATCATAGTTTTAAATTGCCTTGGAAATATATATATATATATATATATATATATATATCCCATAATCATTTATCACTTATCTATTTAGTATTTATTATATTTTACCTAAAAACAGCCAACAAAGGTGAGTCCACACTGTCCCCATCGTAGACATACAGATGATCCCAACCACACTCCGTGGCAAATTCTTCGATATGCAGTCTTATCGTGTGGTTTGGGGATGTTGCAGAATTGCTGCTCCATAAACTGTGTGGCATCAGATCGTTGGAGCCCCTTGCATCGATTAACCAGGAGCATTTGACTCCCACCGAATAGTTTCCGGGGCCATCGTGAATTGACCCAAAGGGCTCTGCCAATCTAAACAAAAATAATAGAAATATATATATATATATATATATATATAAAATATATAATATATATATATATATATATATATATACGAGGTGTGTTCAAAAAGTACCCGGAATTACTAATAATTAAATTTCGCGGGTCTGGAGTGTCTGATTGTCAAAATTTTTTTTTTATTGTGTTGGTATACATGCCCCTAAAGTATGATGAAATTTTCAGCTATATTCACTGTTTACTTTGTCTGTGGTAGTCGCTAAGGTTCGACGTGTTTTTCTGAGCTCGGCGATTTTTACAATGGAAGAATTGAAAAGTCAAAGAATTTGTATTAAATTTTGCGTAAAAAATGAAATAAAGTGTTGCAAAGTGCAAAAATTCACCAGATATGGCTCCGTGTGACTTTTTCCTATTCCCAAAGTTGAAGAGACCCATGAAAGGACGGCGGTTTTCCTCGATTGAAGAAATAAAGGCCGAATCGCCGAGAGTGCTCAAGGACATATCAAAAAGTGAATATCAAGGGTGCTTCGAAAATTGGAAAAAACGCTGGCATAAGTGTATTATATCTGGGGGGACTACTTTGAAGGGGACCACATTAATGTAGACGAATAAATAAATATTTTTTTGAAAAAACGAAAATTCCGGGTACTTTTTGAACAGACCTCGTATATATATATATATATATATATATATATATATATATATATATATATTAGGGTGGTCCTTAATATGGAAATGTTCGAATTTCTTTGCTTCCAAGGGCTCAAATGCTTCCAAATTGGTGAAAGAAAATTCTCTGAAAGTTTTAGCTCTCAATATTAATATTTAGAAAGTCCACAATTCAATTAAAAGTCTCGTATATTTATTATTAACATATGCCAATAAGTAAATTCTTGGCACACTTGTAATTTTGATAGCAATCTATTACTATCATCAATAAAATAAATATTTTGCTGCAAAATTAATTTTGATGCCACGATGAATAAATATTTCGTTAAACAGTTCACATGGATTTAATTAAAAGTTAAGTGATTTATAAATATTTTTGAGTGTCAGAATATTTGAAATTACAAACTATCACACATGGTGCAAGATTTTACTTAATAATAAATATATATAATATTTTAATTAAATTGCGTACTGTCAAAATGTTAATATTAAAAGCTAAAACTGGAGAATTTTCTTTTATTAGTTAGGAAGTATTTGAGTCCTTGGGAGCAAAGAAATTCGAAAATGTCCATATTAAGGACCACCCTAAAGTATACATATACATCTTTATGTTCTTCACATATACTTCATATATATATATATATATATATATATGTGTGTGTGTGTGTGTAACCATATAGGAAATAATAATTCAAAATGATAAATTTAAAGAAAATATATTTATTTTGAAAAAAAACGGTTGTAATGCGTATTTCATTTAAATATAATCTATTTTTTATGCAAATTATACATATTTTAACATTGACAATAAATGATAAGAAAACTTTTGAACAGAAAGAAGCAAAAACACTTATAATTACAAATAATGTATTTATTTATTCATGGCAAATAAATAATTGTGTATTATTATTATTAATTAACTTCCCGTAGGCAAACAAAATCGAAAATGAACATTTTTATAAATATTTACGTTTCAGAGGTTTCTGAACATTTTGGCATACCTTATAAAAAATAGATGTATACATACAATTTTTCGTCGACGATTTCGAGAACACGGATCAACCGATTTGAATAATTAAAAAAAACATTCGATTCGTATTGATAAGGAGACCTGCTGATTAGTTTTTGGCAAAGGCGGGTCTAGCCGTTACGGAGGTACAGGGCAAAAAGTACAGTTCATCGAAAATGAACATTTTTATAAATATTTACGTTTCAGAGGTTTCTGAACATTTTGGCATACCTTATAAAAAATAGATGTATACATACAATTTTTCGTCGACGATTTCGAGAACACGGATCAACCGATTTGAATAATTAAAAAAAACATTCGATTCGTATTGATAAGGAGACCTGCTGATTAGTTTTTGGCAAAGGCGGGTCTAGCCGTTACGGAGGTACAGGGCAAAAAGTGCCAAAAACGGTAACTCAGTTTATAAGAGAACGGAGCATCCGATTTGAATAATTCAAAAAACATTTTACTTGTATTGACAAGATGAAGAATGTATCAAATTTTCATGAAGGCAGTTCTAGCGGTTTCGGACTCTCAATAAAAATAAGTTAAAAAATTGCCATTTGGCGGTCAAAAATGATCATTAGACATATGCACATGGAATTATCAGATATTTTATAGAGATTTTAACAATAAGTATAAATTTTGTTAACATTCCTATGGGTTCCGTAACAATGTTTTTCCGTTAGACGGCAACGCGGCGCTTACGCGCTTCGATATTTCGTCTCTATGCAGTTAAAGCAGTACGATTGTGCTTTGAAAACAAGTTCAAAATTCCCAAAATATTTCAAAATACACTTTTCTTCAAAGTCTTTTTTTCAAATAAAAGTAAATTCTTGGCAAAAATTTATAGTTTCTCAAAAATCTAATTTTGCAGAGTAATTTTTTTTCAAAAATGTTATTTTTTCACAAAAAAAATAATTTTTGGTACGCGAAGTTCCAGCAATTTGCCTTATGGCACGATGCCATACACCACTAGTAGTTTTTATTACTTATTATATGTATTTATTAACAATAGTCTCAATAAAAAATAACTTTTTAGGGCATTTAAACATTTAAATAATTTTTATTTTTAATTCTATTTTTATAAAAAATAAATCAATTCACAAAATAAATATTTTTATTCAAAAAAATCTAACTTAAAAGACTAATATTAATTAATATTAATTTAAATTCAATATATTTGAAATAGTATTTTTAAATTGAAGTTTTGTCAACAAAGATGAACTCAGCTTTACCATTTTGTAATTTGTAAATAGAATATTAATAATGAATTCATAATTTCATTCATAACAATTCAAATTTCAAACTGATATAAATAATACAATCACAAATATTATAAGTCTGTTTGAAAGATATCAATTGTAATAGCTTGTAGTCACAGCAAATACTTGTATTTTAAAATGAATTTTGAAAATTTTACCTAAATCTAAATCTCATTGGACAAAAGTTTATGCAACTCGTCTTAAGGCAAACTATTCGATGAACGTAATATTTACTTTTCAAAATTAGTGAAAATTTTATCCAAATTGTTAAATATCCATTCGGATTGATTAAGTGAATTAATTACGTTCATCGGGAAGTTTATGGTAATTGTCTCAAGGCAAAATGCCACTTTTATCGAGTAAATTATGGTAAATAAGAAGTAGATAGGCATAGTCGAAGTTAAAGACTACAAAAAGCTGTCCTAAATGATGTGTCTTGGAAATTGTGCTCATTTTCTCAATATATATATATATATATATATATATATATATATATATATATATATGTATGCTTTCATCTAGCTATTTACTGTCAATAAGAAGTAGGTAGGTTTAGTCGAAGACTACAAAGTGCTGTCCTAAATGATGTGCCTTGAAAATTTTACTCATTTTCACAAAAAATGTATAAATTACTGCTGCATCTTAATTGTTCACACAATCATTTCTTCCCCCAGTATGTGTATAAAAATATTTCACTCCAATGCTTCATTTTGACAATTGAGGCCAATATAAACAAATGGCATACTTGTCAAAAAATCTTGCAACCAAAGCCAAATCTATAAAAAGACTTCACAAACGTAACAAAACAATTTCGCAAGGCCATAAAACCAGCGAAACATACAAATTAACAATTTTATTACAAAAATCTTACAAAAGTAGAAAGTGTACACTGACTGACATTTCAAAATCAATAAATCAATTAACCAAATAACCTAATAATCTAGGCAAGTACTATAACAAGTATTATCATTTATTACCTGACTTTTCCACCGCAGAATTGGCATTCGGGGCCCTGCCATCCGTCATTGCACAAACAAGTATCGTTTTTACACACCCCATTAAGACAATTCAATTCAGTACAACGCTTTTGGGCTGTCACACACAAACATTGAACGAATATTAAAACAATCACAGCACTCACAAATTGCGTGCACACTCTTGATTTTCGTCGATATTTTGATTTAAAAAGGAATACAAACATTTGCAAAGATTCTAACATTTTGGAGCTACCATTTTCGATTTACTATGTAAAAGCACGGCCACTGCAGTATTGCCAGATAAGGTAAAAGACTCACTTTGTACCGTTAGAAACCAAATGATAATAGATAAGTAATAGAATTTGTAAGGTGTTAAATATTTGGTTAATAACGTTTAATTATTTTACTTTTATTAATTATTTTTAATCTTAATATTAAACGAAGCATTATATGCTAAGGTATTGCCTTATGAGACAAGTCTGTGTAGGCTTTTGACAGTATCCCGTTACGTCTTCTAATAACATTTTTGACTTACTTAATAATAAAAATTAGATATAAAACACATTTTTGAACCTTGCTTACTGCATAAACACCCACATACTAAACAATTATGAATAAAAATATTATATATTCAACAACGAAGCTGCAGCTGTCAGAAAAAATGGCGCCATTTTAAAACCTGTCAAAATTACACAAAATTAGTAACAAATATTATTCAATACCGTTAATAGCATTAAACTTATTATTAAAAACTGTTTTTTGTTACTCGTTTAATATATAAACTGCTATAATTATTAAATATTTCGTATCGTATCTGTTTTTCTTGTTTGAGCTGTCAAAACATGGCGCCTTATTCAAACCTGTCAATACAAAATTATTTTATATTTTAACAAATACTATTCACTACCGTTAGTAGCATTAAATATATTTGTTAAATTATATTTTTGAAATTTATTAATTATATAAATTGCTGTAAGTATCAATTATTATTAAATATATCATTTTTCTAACAATGTAGTTGGAGCTGTCAAAACGGCGCCTTATTCAAACCTGTCAATACAAAATTATTTCATATTTTAACAAATACTATTCACTACCATTAGTAGCATTAAATATATTAATTAAATCATATTTTTGAAACTTGTTTATTATATAAATTGCTGTAAGTATTAATTATTATTAAATATATCATTTTTCTAACAATGGAGTTGGAGCTGTCAAAACATGGCCCCAATTTAAAACCTGTCAAAGTTTTACCAAAAACTGTTTATATTCTCATAAATACAATAAATAAAACCTATTAATTAGTTACTATATATATCATTATTGTATAATGATTACCCTAGACAATATTGGAATATGATATATTCATATTTAGTTTTCGTAGAAACTGTCAATTTCAATCCGACATTTTTAAAACTGTCAAACTTTTTCAGTCCGAGATTTAAATTGTTAAAAAATCAAAAATAAATTACTAACTAATGTAAAATTAAAAACACACATGAATTAATTTGATATTAACATACTACTACATGTATTTTACTATTTGAAATATTCGTTTTTATTGATACTGTCAATTCATATATCCGCCATTGTTGAAACTGTCAAAGTTTTGAGCGCAAGATTTAAATCAAAGTATATCATAATAAATATTTTATTATTATACGGCTATAAATATTAATATTTCTAACACTATATATTGTAATTTTGTATATATTTCAATTGTTATTCATTATGTAAAATAATTGTATTTTTGATTCCTCTTGGAAGAAATCTGTGGGCTATATATTTAAAATAAACACTTTTTGTTACATATAAAATATAACAAAACTTTCCACGCCTTTATTAATTCATTATAGATTAAAATCGTATTTAAAACAAAAAAATAATATGTAAAATGATGTGTTGTGTAAAGTAAATGTCTTGTAACTTTTGAATCAGGCGTCTGATTTTAATGCAACTTTCGACAAATTTGTTTAAAATAAAATAACTAACAATATTGTATTACATTTTAATGTCATATAGCAACTCAATATCCTTTTAAGTCACTCCTAAAATATAATATTAACCTACATAAATGTATCAACGTGTTATTAAAAAAACCCACATATATCTTTACAATTATGTATTAAATAATATCTGCCTCCTACAAACTAACCATCTTACTAAATACAAAGTATTTCTTAACAACATTTTCCTTTTGTTTAACACTTATTAAACATATTTTATTTCTGACATCCAACACAGATAAATATTTTGAATTTTAAAATGCCTTATTTCTAAATATACACTTCAACATCACAATCATTACATGAATTGTCTTTTATAATCAAAGTTAATATTAAGTGGTGTTTCTAATAAGTCTATGAATAAGATTTATAATTACATATTAATAATTAATATATTAGTGTATACGCTATTCAGACATTTTGATTACATATTGAACACTTAGTTTTGTCGATATACATATATATTTTTGTATCTATTTATGTATAAATATTTATATACATATATAGATTCATTTTGTCAGTCAAATGTGCGTTTCAATTTTAAATTGTAAATGCACATTTATTAATACAGTAATATGCTTATTATTTATTTCAACCTTGATTGAATCTAAAATGATTTTTTTATGCTTAATATTAATAAATAAACTTAAGTGTTTAACAATATTTAAGACATTTGAATAGATCAAATGTGGCAATACTTAATAGATAATTCTCATGTGGCAACACTTGTGTGTTCTTATGTGGCAATACTTTTGTGTTCTCATGAGGCAATACTCATTAAATTTTTATAAAAAAGTAACACAAAAATATTAGTTATTATTGACTAATATTAACTTCCCGTAGGGTAGTTATAGTAATAGGTCGAAAATCAAAAATGAAAATGTTTGCATTTCTCGACGTTTCAGAAGTTTCTGAACATTTTACTGGCATACCTCAAAAGAAATGGATGTGTGAGTGTATGTATGGGTAAAATGTTTCATCGACGTTTTAGGGCGCACGGATCAACCGATTTGAATGGTTAAAAAAACATTCGATTCCTATTGATACGGAGATGTGCTGATTTGTTTTTAGCAAAGGCAGGTCCAGCCGTTACGGAGATATGGAGCAAAGAGTGCAGAAAATAGAAATCGAGTTTTTGAGAGAACGGATTATCCGATTTGTATGATCGAAAAAACATTCAGTTCGTAATGACGGGGAAAAGTGGTTATTAGTTTTTGGTAAAAGTAGGTCCAGCGGTTTCGGAGATACAGAGCTAAATGTTAAAAAAATGGCAGTTTTTGAGAGAACTAAGCGTCCGATGTAATTGATTCAAAGCATTTTCTGCTTGTTTCAACAAAATAATTGCTTTTGGAAAAAAAATTGTTCCTAATTTTTTTTTTCAAAAAATATTTTTCTAATTTTGGATTAAAAATTCAAAAAATTGCCCAGGCTAAGCACAGTCTAAGCGCCACTCTGGTACAAATGTTTTCGCAAGTGCGTTCAGACTGTTTATGTACTAGTGCACTTTTCGAATTCGAATTTTGTGAAAACTATTGAAAAATGTGAAAATGCCGCCAAGCTAAGTACAGTATAAGGAAAATGTCGAACAGGATTATTTGCAAATGCGTTTAGACTGTGACTATGCGGGAGCACTTTTTCAATTTTGTGTAAATTAGGCAACTATTTTTTTTTAAATTGAATTCGAAACGTAATGACGATTGTTAATGTTCTGGAGATAAATTGATTTATTTAAAATTTACATTTGATTTGCTCAGATATAACAAGATAGCAGAAATAATTAAAGTTACACAGTATTTGTGTAATAATATATTTGAAAACGTTTAAAATTTCTCGAATATTTTATTACGATACGGGAAGTTCCAGCAATTTGCCTTAAGGGACGATGTCATTCGCCCCACTAGTTTATAAAAATATTAGTAAAAGTTAAACAAGTATTGCCACACGAGGACACATAAGTATTACCAGAGTAGAAATAATTTAATAGTTGTATTGCAATGCATTTTTTGTTTCATTTTGCTTTTCAAATATCGTCAAACACTTTTGTGCTTAATTTAATTAAATCAAATTGACTCTTGCTTATTATTATACATTAAATTAATTAATATTAATATACAACCATGTATTAATTTTAACTTATTAACGATATTGTCAAAGCACTTTCTATAGAATGCTCTCCTATTTAAATAAAAATCATCCTTCGAAAAGTTCTACGATAAAAAATAGAGAATTTAATTTTTTTTTAAGATTTCGAATAAATGCATTAGTTTCATTTTAAATTCTTCAATTGATTGTGTAATTTAAATAAATAATTAAAATTAATCAGGTATTAGTATAAATATTTTAAAAACTTAAAAAATTACATTGTCTGTTTATTAACAAAATAACAAAATGCATCTCTTATATTACGTAATTTTAACATTCAAATTAAACAAATTAAACATTTGTGCCGTGTACTAAACTTAAGTTTATTGATTAGAAATTATTTTTATATTACTCGTAAGTAAAAAAGGACTCTACTGGCAACCAAACTAAAAATGGAAAACGGAGGGGGACTCTACTGACGAGCAAACTAAAAATAGAATTAAAAATGTACTTTACTAATGACAAATTAAAAATAAAAGGAAAATAAATTCTACTGATAATTAAATTAAAAATGAAAGAAAATGGGACTCTAGTGACGACCAAACTAAAAATTAAAAAGGGAGGAGAACTCTACTGACGACCAAACTAAAAATAAAATTAAAAATGTACTTTACTAATGACAAATTAAAAATAAAAGAAAAATAAATTCTACTGATAATTAAATTAAAAATGAAAGAAAATGGGACTCTAGTGACGAGCAAACTTAAAATGAAAAAAAGGGACTCTACTGACGACCAAACTAAAAATGAAAAAGGGAGGAGGACTCTACTGACGAACAAAATAAAAATAAATTCCAAAAGAGACTCTACTGATGATTAAATAAAATATAAATTGAAAATTAAAATAAAAGATAAATTAAAATTAAAGGAAAAAGGGACTCTACTGACGAGCAAAAGACTGTACTGATGATTAAATTAGAAATTAAAGGAAAAAGGGACTCTACTGACGAGCAATCTAAAAATAGCATTAAAAAGGGACTCTACTGACGAGCAAAACTAAAAATAAAAGAAAAATAAACTCTACAGAAAATTAAATTAAAAATTAAAGAAAAAGGGACTCTACTGACGACCAAACTAAAAATTAAAAAGGGAGGAGGACTCTACTGACGAGCAAAGTAAAAATAAAATTCAAAAGAGACTCTGCTGATGATTAAATTAGAAATTAAAGGAAAAAGGGACTCTACTGACGAGCAATCTAAAAATAACATTAAAAAGGGACTCTACTGACGAGCAAAACTCAAAAAAAAAAAAAATGAAAAATGGCTTTGTAGTTTCTATAAATCTTTGAGGTCATTAAAATGAATAATATTTTTTAGGCAAGACAGATATTTTAGTGGTTCAAAGTATGAGACTATATCGCCAGCAAAAAAGTAAAAAAATACCATCAGTCAATGAATGTATGTTAATTTTAATTACACGAAGTTCTTCAAACACAATTAAATAAATAATTATTATAATTTACACAAATAAATACATTACTTACATGTCAATATTTATATATGGTAATTTTATAATATATCTTAAGCAACCGTACAAGAGTGCCTCTTGTGTTTGGGGCCCCCTTGAGGCGCCACGGATTCCCTGCGCTCCGTCATATAAGCAGGCAAACTCTGTCGGCGTCTTCTTACTGCAGGACTTAAATTGTAACTCACTTTTGCCTGAAGTAATAATTCCTGAAAGGATAAAAAATATTTTACCAAGGACAAACAATAACAAGTCGATTTGAAGTACAACTTTTTTAGGCGCGACTAGGGTGTAAATCCGTACAAATGATAAAAGTCGAGTGCCAATGATTCATCATTCGCTCTCGATGATATCATTTCTATACGGGTCGATTGTGATTAGTCGTCGTGTATGTGAGTAGAGATCTGTCGTTGTATGCGTACCGATATCAACAAGGAAATCGCCATAGATAAATAAACATTTTAAAGTTACATCGTTGTACTAATCTCGATTTAATGAAAAATGCCTGAATCAGAAAAATATTCAACACTGTTCCCCGTAATTCCGGGTCCCTTTCTTATTCGAATCAAAATTTAGTTTGCTCGTCAGTAGAGTCCTTTCTTAATTTTCTCATGAGTAGATTTCCTTTTTTAATATTTTTAAGTGACTTTAAATGCTTTTTCTATTAGAATTGTTATTTGATCGTCAGTAAAGTCCTTTTTTTATTTGCTCATGAGTAGATTTTCTTTTTATAAATATTTTTAAATGACTTTAAAAGCTTTTTCTATTAAAATTGTTATTTGATCGTCAGTAGGGTCCTTTTTTATTTGCTCATGAGTAGATTTCCTTTTTTTTATATTTTCAAATGCCTCGTCAGTAGTAATTTTTCTATTATAATTGTTATTTGCTCGTCAGTAGAGTCTCTTTTGTTCTATTTAGAGTTTGCTCGTCAGTAGAGTCCCTTTTTTGTTTTATTTTATTAGTTTATTCTTCAGTAGATTTGTTTTTGATTTCATTGTTAGTTTGCTCGTCAGTAGAGTTCCATTGTTCTTTAATTTTTAGTTCGCTTGTCAGTAGATTTCCTTTTTAATTTTAATTTAAGTTTGCTCGTCAGTAGAATCCTTTCTTTTCATATTTTTTACTTCAGTTTGTTAGTAGAGTCCTTTTTCATTTTGAAAGTTCTTTTCTAATTTGATTGTCAGTAGAGTCCTTTTCTTCGGCTTTCCTTTTGTAAAATACAATTTGTTTGTCAGTAGAGTCCTTTTTTATTTTCATGTCTGGTAAAATATAGTTTGCTCGTCACTAGAGTCCTTTTCTCATATTCTAGGTAGTTTTTCTATTTGCTCGTCAGTAGAGTCCTGTTTTATCTTCATATATTGCAAAATACGTTTTCTCGCTCTTTCTTATCAGAGCAAAAGCTACGAAATTATTAAAAAGACTCTACTGACGAGCTAAAGCTAAAATATACAAAAAAGAACTCTACTGACGAGCAAATTGCATTTTAAAAGACACGAAAATGGACTCTACTGACGAGCAAATTAAAAAATAATTTAGAAGATTAAAAGGGACTCTACTGACGATCTAATTAATTTTTAAACTCATAAAAAAGAACTCTACTGGCGGGCAAATTAAAAAACAATTCAGAAGATAAGAAGGGACTCTACTGACGAACAAATTGGTTCTCAAAATCATGAAAAGGAACTCTACTGACAAGCAAATTGAGTAATAACTTGGAGATAAAAAGAACTCTACTGATAGGCTATTTAAATGGCATTTTGAGGAAGAACTGTACTGTCGAGTAAATTAAAAAGCAACCTAGAAAATTAAAAGGGACTTCAAAGATTTATAGAAACTACTAACGAATAATATAGAAATAATTTCTAATCAATAAACTTACGTTTAGTACACGGCACAAATGTTTAATTTGTTTTATTATTTTCAAAGAACATGGTAAAATATTCTTCTGGTTCAGGCATTTTTCATTAAATCAAGATTTGTACTACGATGTAACTTTAAAATGTTTATTTATCTATCTATGCCGATTTCCTTGTTAATATCGGTACGCATACAACGACAGATCTCTATTGACATACACGACGACTAATCACAATCGACCTGAATAGAAATGATATCATCGAGAGCGATTGACGAATAATTGGCACTCGACTCTTATTTTATCTTATCTGCCGTAACGCATTTGTACGAATTTACACCCCAGTCGCGTCTAAAGAAGTTTTATTTCAAAAACTATTTTGTGAGGACTTTAACAAAGCTTTGAATCACTTTTGTGAACATTCGGAGAAACCTCCAAATATATAGTCTCCATACCATCCAGTACCATCTAAATATATAGTCTTTTTTCAGCTTCTTTTTTTTCTTTTTCTTATCCTTTTCTTTTCTCTTAAGCACTTATATAAATTACATACTGGTGGTGTATGGCATCGTGCCTTAAGGCAAATTGCTGGAACTTCCCGTACCGTAATGAAATATTCGAGAAATTTTAAACGTTTTCAAATATATTATTCTAGAAAATTTGTAATTTCTTTATAAATTTTACCTTAAAAGCCCCAACAACTCCTTCCCCCGTCTTGGCCGAACACTCAGCATAACCACAACTCCAATCATCCTTGACAACCCTCTCGATCTCCTCCAATTTTTCCCGATCAATAGTTTTCCTCTTCTGGTCAATTTTTTCACATTTATCACGATTATCATTGATAGTAACCCTACTGTTGCCCAAAAGGTCGCATTTGTTGGCGACGACGACTATTGGGGCACTCGTGGTTCCTCGGACATCTATTATCTAAAAAAAAAAATAGAAGAAGAATTTAGACCAAGAAATTTTAATAGATAGATGTCTTAATGTAAGTGTATTATATAAAATTCAAATTTTATTTTTTTATAGTTGCTGTGATCTCTCATACCAGAACAATTGTCTGACTGAGTATGTACGAATTATATCAAATAAATAAATAAACTAGGAGTACGTTAAGGTAAATTAGCTAGAACTTCCCAAACCATAATAAAACTAGTGGTGAAAATTTATCTCTAAAACATTAACAATCGTCATTTCATTTCGAATTCAATTTCAAAAAAAAAAAATAGTTTTCAAATATATTATTACAAATACGTTATGTAACTTTCATTTTTTTTGCATTATCTTGTTATATCTGAGCAAATCAAATGTAAATCATAAATCAATTTATCTCCAGAACATTAACAATCGTCATTTCATTTCGAATTCAATTTCAAAAAAAAAATAGTTCAATTTACACAAAATTGAAAAAGTGCTCGCGCATAGTCACAGTCTAAACGCATTTGCAAATAATTCTGTGCGACATTTCCACTCATACTGTGCTTTACTGGGCGGCATTTTCACATTTTTCAATAATTTTCACAAAATTTATAAAAACGCTCCCGCATAGTCACATTCTAAACGCACTTGCAAAAATGTTTGTACCGGGTTGCCACTTAGAATGTGCTTAGCAGGGGTAGTTTTTCACATTTTTTCAAAAATTTTTAACAGGAAATTACATTTTTATAATTTACATAAAATTTGAAATTTAGTATATAAACAGTCTAAACGTACTTAGGTAAATATTTTCACTAGAGTGGCGCATAGTCTGGGTAATTTTTTGAATTTTTGTATTTAGTATTTTTCATCATCAACTGTATTTTACCAGACATGGAAATAAAAAGGACTCTACTGACAGGCAAACTATATTTTGCATTATATGAACTGACGAACAAACTGAAATACTCGTCTGCACGTCAGTAAAGTCCACTTTTATATATTTTAGCTTTTGCTCGTTGGTAGAGTCCCTTTTTTAATTGTAGATTAGTTTGCCCGCCAGTAGGGTCCCTTTTTTAATTCTAGATTAGTTTGCCCGTCAGTAGAGTCCTTTTTTTGATTCTAGATTAGATTACTCGTCAGTAGAGTCCCTTTTTTAATTCCAGATTAGTTTGCTCGTCAGTAGAGTCCCTTTTTGTTTCTAGATTAGTTTGCTCGTCAGTAGAGTCCCTTTTTAATTCTAGATTATTGTGCTCGTCAGTAGAGTCCCTTTTTTGTAAAGAGTAAAATTAACTTTTGCTCATCAGTAGAGTCCTTTCATTATTTTTCTATCCCTTGCTCGTCAGTAGAGTCCCTTTTTTCTATTTTAGCTTTTGCTCGTCAGCAGAGTCCATTTTTGTCTATTTAATTTAAGCTTTAGCTCGTCAGTAGAGTCCTTTTATTAATTTTCTAGCTCTTGCTCTTCAGTAGAGTCCCTTCATTAATTTTCTATCCTTTGCTCGTCAGTAGAGTCCCTTTTTTAATTCTAGATTAGTTTGCCCGTCAGTAGAGTCCCTTTTTTAATACTAAATGAAGTTTGCTCGTCAGTAGAGTCAAATTTTATTATTGCAAATCATTTTGCTCGTCAGTAGAGTCCTAATATATTTATATAATTTTTTTTTGCTTGTTAGTAGAGTCATATTTTATCTTCGTAATTAAGTTTGCTAGTCAGTAGAGTCTCTTTTTTAATATTAAAAATGCGGACATACAACACACACACACATCTATTTAGTTTCTGAGGTATGCCCCTTAAAAATGTTCAGAAACCTTCGAAACGTCAAGAAATGCAAAAATTTTCAATTTCGATTTTCGGCCCATTACAATAACTTACCCTACGGGAAGTTAATAAATAAATGAATAAATAATGTTTTAGATTAAGGAATTTACCTGGTCTCTGAGTTCCCGGACTTCGCACCAGCTTTGCTCGTTGTCCAGAGAGTAAACCAGCATGAAGGCACCGGCTTGGGCGATGCTGAGTCTTCTCATTGCCGGGAATTGCATCGCACCGGACGTGTCCAGGATGTCCAGGGTTAACGTGTCGCCGTGGGGAAGGGAATATTCGCCCCTGAGAAAAAAAATATTATAATAGTCATAAACTACTCTCATTAACCTCCCATAGGGTAAGTTATAGTAATCGCAAAAAAATCGGAAATGACATTTTTTTATATATCTTCACGTTTCAGAGGTTTCTGAATATTTTGGCATACCTTAGAATAAAATGGATGTATGTGTGTGTGTGTGTATGTGTGTGTGCGGATACAAATTTTCGTCGACGATTTCGGGAACACGGATGAAGCGATTTGGATAATTCAAAAAACATTTGATCCGTATTGATAAGGAGACGTGCTTATTAGTTTTTAACGAAGGCAGGTCTAGCCGTTTCGAAGATATGGGGCAAAAAGTGCCAAATATGGTAACTCAGTTTTTAAAAGAACGGAGCGTCCGATTTTACTAATTCAAAACACATTTTATTTGTATTGACAAAATGAAGGATTGATTAAATTTTTGGAAAGGCAGGTCCAACGATTTTGGAAATATGGAGAAAAAAGTAAAAATTGAGCCATTTAGCGGTCAAAAATGAACATTAGACATATGCACATCAAATTATTAGATATTTTATGAAGATTTTAACAATAAGTATAAATTTTGTTTAAATTTCTATGGGTTTCGTACCAATATTTATCCGTTATACGGCGACGCGGCGCTTACGCGCTTCGATATTTCGTCTCTCTGCAGTTAAAGCAGTACGATTGCTTTGAAAAAAAGCTCAGAATTTCCAAAATATTTCAAAATAAATGATTTAAGATAGAATGATTTAATATGGTTCGAAATTCTATTAAAAGTTTCAAATTATTGATCAACTTTTATTGATTATTATTGATTATTTTTATTTACTCGAATTTTCAAGTGCGGTACGGGAAGTTCCAGCAATTTGCCTTAAGGCACGATGCCCTAATTGCCTTAAGACAGAATTCCACTTACAGCTAGTTTTTTTTTCTTTTTTCAGCTTTCTTTTTTTTCTTATCCTTTCCTTTTCTCTTAAGCCTTTATATAAGTTTTTAACTAGTGGTGTATGGCATCGTGCCTTAAGGCGAATTGCTGGAACTTCCCGTACCGTAACAAAATGTTCGAGAAATTTTAAACGTTTTCAAATATATTATTACAAATAGTGTAACTTTCATTATTTTTGCTATCTTGTTATATCTGAGCAAATCAAATGTAAATCATAAATCAATTTATATCCAGAACATTAACAACAATCGTCATTTCATTTCGAATTCAATTTCAAAGAAAAGAGTTGCCTAATTTGCAAAAAATTGAAAAAGTGCTAAGTATAGTCACAGCCTAAACGCATTTGCAAATAATTCTGTGCGACATTTTCACTTATACTGTGCTTAGCATGGTGGCATTTTCACATTTTCACATTTTTCAATAGTTTTCTCACAAAATTGGAAAAGTGGTCCAGTAGATAGACAGTCTAAACGCACTTGGGTATACATTTGTACCAGAGCGGCGCTTAGACTGTGCTTAGCCTGGGTAATTTTTTGAATTTTGAATTTTTAATCTAAAATTACAAAAATATTATTTTCGCTATACAATTTTCAATCGTCTAAAACCCAAAAGGGACTCTACTGACGAGCAAATTAGAATCAGAAGGGACTCGACTGACGCTCAAACTAAAATATAAGAAGAAAAAGAACAGCGAGCAAAATTAAGGAAGAGGAAAAAGAAACTTGTGACGATCAAAATATCATGAAAATTGAAAGAAACTCTACTGACGAGCAAATTTAAATTAGAAAAGCAATGACTTTATCAGCTCATAAGTAAAACATTTTTGTGGGAGGAAAAAAGGGACTCTACTGACGAGCAAAATAGTAAAAAAATCTAATGGCAAAAGAGACTCTACTGACGAGCAAAATAAAAAGGCAAACAAACTATGGCGAAATCAATTACATGAGGCATAACAAATTGGTCTCTAATAACCCACAAACTAAAATATAAGAAGAAAAAGGACTTTACTGACGAGCAATATTAAAGAAAAGGAAAAAGTAAACTACTGACGATCAAAATATCATGAAAATTAAAAGGAACTCTACTGACGAGCAAATTCAAAGAAAAAGAGCAATGGCCTCATCAGCTCACTAGTTCTCAAACTAAAATATAGAAAGAAAACAAATTCTACTGACGAGCAAATTAAAATTAGAAAAAAAAGATATTCACGAGAATGGACTAAACTTCTTTGACGAGCTTGAGGAATACAAAAGGGACTCGACTGACTAACAAACTAACATTAAAGTAGAAAGGGACATTTCTGACGAGCAAAATAAAAAAGTCATAACGAACTCTGATGAAATCAATTACACGAGGAATAACAAATAGGACTCTACCGACGCACAAAATTAAATATAAAGAGATAAAGGACTCTACTGACGAGCAAATTTAACATCTTGATCTTTATGTCAGTCATATGTGTCTGACGCGATTTGATGGAAGTTGTCACTCATATATGTACGACATAAAAAATGTCATAATGTGATCCTGTCTAAAATTTTTTTTGTCATTGATACATTTTGATAAATTCTTAAATAAATTATCTAATAAAGTTACCATGGCCCATGTGATAATTTTTCGATATTATCGTGGCGATGAACGTGTTATTTAATTAGTATATATAAATTACTTGTTTTTCTTGTATATTATATACTTTAAAATACTTGTATTCGCTTCTAGCTTGAATAAAAATATTAAGTAAATTTACTAAAAAATCAAATACCTGTGCATTTCTTCTACCGTTTCCTTGTACCTTGCCGGAGTTTTGTCATATAGAAATTGTGACACTATTGAAGACTTTCCGACTTTGGCAGCACCTAAAATTACAACATACACACCCATATATATATATATATATATATATATATATATATATATATATATATATATATACATATATTTATTTTACTATTGACACTTACCCAACAGTACAATCCTATGAGTCTCCCTTTTGGGTTGCCTCGAGGGCGTATTAGGCAAAGGAGTCGGAGATAAGGATAACAACCTCAATCTTTGTCTAGGACCAGGCATATTTACACAAATCGACAAACAACAAAATCACCCACGACAAATTACTGACCTATAAATGATCCCTTAAGGGATAGAAGACGATTATTTCAAATTTTTGGCTCGAAAACAAATATTTTTTACACAAAAAGTTATGGTAACGGACTCATATTTTAAATTGGTCAGAGGTTCGTATTTATTTACAATTTTTTATTCATACTGTTTATAATATTTGATATTATAAATTGGAATTTTAATATTTTGTATTGTTTTCAGCAAAATTTGTCACAAATTGTAGAATATTGTGTATATTTTTTATGTAATAATAATAATAAATTAGTAGCGTATTACTTTTATATTTATAGTATTTTTTGTATTGCAGTATGCTCCAATTTACGTTTTTTTACAAAAATATATCATTTATTACAATTTTTTTGCGAAGAGTAATATTAATAATTTTGTTGTTTGTAATTTAGAATTCAGCTTAATATTATTCAGTGAAATATTTGATTATTTATTTTTATATAGTATAAATGATATATACGTGCAACAGAATACATTTATAATTGAAGTAGTATTAATATTTATAATTTGCAAAATAAATTTTTGACACAAATATTAAATTAAAAAAAACGTAAAGCAGTTAAAAAAAGCAAGTAAAATTAATTTAAATAAATAGGTGACTAAAATATAATTACTATATTATTAAATTAAATCAATAAACGTGTAAACAAAATTTTGTATTCAGTTATTAATTTCCAATATAATTTAAATTATTTTCGCCAAGAACTTTTGACGCAACCTTCGAGTTTCTTAGAATTTCTTAGAATTTCTCCGTTTTTTCTATATAATTTCTATATCCTTCGATTAATATTAGTTTATTGGATAGGATTCAAAGGATATTTTCAAGGACTCCTTGATAAACTTTTCTTCTGTGGACGACCGACTCAATTTACCATTTGACAAACGATGTCGTGAGTCGAAGACGCCCGGTGACTATTTTCTGGGAAATAAATGATTAATATTAGTAGAAATATACATAGATACATACATAGATATCATGTACATATATATAAATTAATATTTACGAGAACCAATAAAAGGCAATCTATATCAATTCTCTAAAGACGTCGAAGAAGTTTTGCAAGTCCAATATATTACAATTTTATTCCCACAGCCAGACAAAAAGTCTTTTCGTACTCGTTCATTTTATTTCTGCGACCCGGGCGCCAAAGCAACCGGGTCGACGTTTTAATTTGCATTAAAATTTGGACAGTTAGTAGTCGATACTTGAGTTTATTTCACGTAAACCATTTTAACATTAAATCTCATAATCGCTTAAAACATATATATCTTTAGGTCGTTCTATTGTATAAACAAGTATCAAAATATTACCTCGACTCTTCTATATTAATTTATTTCCGAAGAGCAAATTTAAATTAGTATAAAAAGAAAATATTCACGAGAGCAGACTAAACTTATTTGACGAGCTTGAGGAATACAAAAGGGACTCTACTGACGAGCAAAATAGAATCAAAAGGCATACAAACTGTGACGAAATCAATTTCATGAGGAATAACAAATGGGACTCTACTGACGTTTCAACTAAAATATTATACTAAAAAAACAGACTCTACTGACAAACAAATTAAAATAAAAATAAGAAGCAAATTTTTACGAGAACGGATTAAACTTCTTTGATGAGCTTGAGGAATAATAAAGGGACTCTACTGACGAGCAAAATAGAAAAAAATTAACAAAATGTGATGAAATCAATTAGACGAGAAAAAACTAATGAACACAAAAAAAAACAGAAACAGATAAAAGACTCTACTGACGAGCAAATTCAAAGAAAAAATTAAAAGAAACTCTACTGACGAGCAAATTTAAATTAAAATAGCAATGACCTTAGCTAACTAGAAAAATCAATTTTTTGGAGGAACTAAAGGGACTCTACTGACGAGCAAAATAGAATTAAAAGGACTTGACTGACGCTTTAAAATATAAAAAGAAAATGGACTCTACTGACAAACAAATTAAAATTAGAATAAAAAGAAAATATTTACGAGAATGAACTAAATTTCTTCGACAAGCTGGAGAAATATAGACGAGACTCTACTGACGAACAAAATAGAATAAAAAGGCATACAGATAAGCAAGTGTCAAAATATTAATTTCTTTGCAAAGGGCTTCATATTGTGTCTAAATAAATGCGTTTTGTGTTTCTCGAAATTATTTAATTGTATTGACATCGATATTTTGATACAACTAGCTCGACTTTATACACCGATATTTACAATTGTCTATGATCTTTAAATATTATGACAATTTTCGAACGTACTCGTTTATTTTATTCCTGCATATTATCACAGGTGTGTCGACCCGGGCACCAAAGCAACCGGGTCGAAGTCTTTGCTTGTTCACGTGCCGAAAAAATTAAAATATTTCTTCAGGTCGTTCTGCGGTATACAAGTGTCAAAATATTTTGTGTAGTTGTGTATATATATTTGTACAAGATTAATAATTTATTTTTAGGTTTTTCTTTTTTGTTTATTTTTTATTTTAGAACATTTCTTTAGGTCGTCTACTGTATAAACAAATGCCGAAATATTTTGTGTAGTAGTAGTATATATATATATATATATATATATAATATATATTTGCACAAGCTTTATCATTTATTTTTAGGTTTTTGTTTTTTATTTATATCAAATTTTTACAAACAACTAAAGAACATTTCTTTAGGTCGTTCTACTATATAAACAAGTGTCGAAAAATTTTGTGTAGTTGTGTATATATATTTGTACAAAATTATTAATTTATTTTTAGGTTTTTATTTTTTATTTATATCAAATTTGTACAAACAATATCTAAATATGTTTAGATTTTTAAAAATTATATTAATACCGATATCAAAATTTATATTCTATGTCGGGGTTACCAATTTGATTAACTTAATAATATAAAATCATTTTAATCAACTTTAAAATAATTTTATAAACAAAAATTATCTACATTAATTCTTTACTTGTATATTTTCATTTTTCATTTTCATTTTTTTTTCAACGGTCAGCCGAGGCCTTTTTCTTCATTTTTGAATGAAATTATTAACCGAATTATTAACTTCCCGTAGGGTAAGTTATAGTAATCGTCCAAAAATCGAAATCAAAATTTTTTACATTTCTCGACGTTTTGAAGGTTCCTGAACATTTTGGCATACTTCAGAAAAAATGGATGTGTGTGTGTGTGTGTGTGTGTGTGGTGTGTGTGTGTGTTTTTGTTATGTCCGCTTTTTTTCGTCCACGTTTTCGGGCGCACGGATCAACCGATTTGAATGGTTTAAAAAACATTCGATTCCTATTGATAGGGAGATGTGCTGATTAGTTTTTGGCAAAGGCAGGTCCAGCCGTTACGGAGATATGGAGCAAAGAGTGCAAAAAATAGAAAGCGAATTTTGAGAGAACGGATCAACCGATTTGAATGGTTAAAAAACACTCGATTCCTATTGATAGGGAGATGTGCTGATTAGTTTTTGGCAAAGGTAGGCCCAGAGGTTTCGGAGTTACAGAGCTAAATTTAAAAAAAATGGCTGTTTTTGAGAGAACTAAGCGTCCGATTTAAATGATTCAAAGAACTTTCTGCTTTTTTCAACAAAACAATTGATTTTGAAAAAAAAAAAATTTTTGTTTCTAATTTTTTTTCAAAAAAATTTTTTTGTATTTTGGACTAAAAATTCAAAAAACACCCAAGCTAAGCACAGTCTAAGCGCCACTCTGGTACAAATGTTTACCCAAGTGCGTTTAGACTGTTTGTGTACTGGAGCACTTTTCCAATTTGTGAAAATTATTGAAAAATGTGAAAATGCCGCCAAGCTGAGCACAGTATAAGTGAAATATCGCACAGAATTATTTGCAAATGCGTTTAGACTGTGACTATGCGGGAGCACTTTTTCATTTTTGTGGAAATTTGGCAACTATTTTTTTTTTTTTAAATTTGATTCGAAATGAAATGACGATTGTTAATGTTCTGGAGGTGATAATTGATTTATTTATAATTAACTTTCCGTAGGGTAAGTTATAGTAATCGCACAAAAATCGAAAATGAAAATTTTTATATATCTTTACGTTTCAAGGTTTCTGAATATATTGGCATACCTTAGAGAAATTGATGTATGTTGTGTATGTGTGTGTGTGCGTGCATTTGTGTGTGTTCAGATACAAATTTTCGTCGACGATTTCGGGAATCGGGATGAAGCAATTTGAATAATTCAAAAACATTTTACTTGCATTATCAAGATGAAGATTTGATGAAATTTTTATGAAATTAGGTCTAGCGGTTTCGGAGATCTAGTAAAAAAAGTAAAAAAAATAACATTTGGCGGTCAACAATAATCATTAGACATTAGACATATGCACATCAAATTATCAGATATTTTATAGAGATTTTAACAATGAGTATACATTTTGTTAACATTCCTATGGGTTCCGTACCAATGCTTATGCGTTAGACAGCGACGCGGCGCTTACGCGCGCTTCGATATTTAGTCTCTATGCATTAAAGCAGTACGATTGCTTTGAAAAAAAGTTCAAAATTTCCAAAATATTTCAAAATAAATTTTTCAACAAAACTTTTGTCAAAAATTATATAGTTCCTCAAAAATCTATTTTTTTAGAGTAAATTTTTTTTAAAAATGTTAATCTTTTCAAAAAAAAAATAATTTTTGGTACGGAAGTTCCAGCAATTGCCTTAAGGCACGATGCCATGCCCCCATAGTTTCATT